GCTAAAAATATTTTAAAATTACCTTTTTTCTTACTAAAAAAAAAATTTGGAACCTTAAATATACCCCAAAAATTTTTGGCCTGTTACATTTGCTCCACAAGAACACCCCATACGCGGGCCCTGCATATCCGCCTAGTGTATGTTGTTTGTAAGAAAATTAGTAATTAATATCGTATATTTACTTGGGATTTTTGCAGGAATACAAAGTAATCTATACTATTAATTGGGAATCATTCAAACATAAGTAACCTTATTTTGGTAGATTAATTACAAAGAATGCCATTGGTATATTTGAATTTGAAAAAGAAAAAAAATATAATATCCATTTGATATTTGTTTTTTATATAAAACAAAATCCAAAATTAAATCAACAAATTAACAACTACCCAATATTTATGGAAATTGTTTGAAGTAGTTCCCATAAAATAAACAAATTAATAACTACCCAAGATTTATAGAAATCTTTTAAAGTAGTTTCCATAAAAAATCTAACTATTAATTTCAAAATTGTATATATGTAAATTTATTTAATTTCGTAATATATTTTAAAATATTTCCGGAAAACAAAAAAAATCAATTTAATATCATCATATATTTTCGATTTTAATTTATTTCTTTAAGAAAATATACTAATAAATTCTGATTAATGGAAGAAATTTTTTTTGAAATTGTAGATATGTTAACTTATTTAATTTGGCAAGGTAATGTTAGATATTTCCGGAAGCGAGAGTCCAATTTAATATAATTGAAAAATAACAAAGCATAGTTTATTTTTGATTTTTAAAATTTCCATAATAAAACTATACTAATTAATTTTGATTAGTTTAGATGGAAGAAATAAAAAGAAAATTTGATTATTCCAATGTTTTAAGAAACAGTTATTATATTTTCCAAATATAATATAAACTAGATATTTTGTATTTTGAAATATAGAATATTCCTCGAATAAATTAGAGATTTTAGATTCGTCAAAATCTCGAAAGATTTTGTGATTTGAATGCAATTCATAAGCCCTAGACAATCCAAACTTTCATCTCATGTTTTGATTTATTTTTAATTAAATATAATAATGTTAAAAAATCAGTAAATATATATTAGGCTAATAAGGCTTTATTAGTAGACTTTAAAATGTTGCCCACTACATAAAATATAACATATGTAACATATGTATCACTACATTAAAATTGTCAGACCATATAATAATATAATCAGTTTAAAGATTAATTTAGAAAATTATTATTACAACAATTAAAAAATTATCATGTGTTTTTCCATGGTTAACACACTATTGTTTTAAAACATTTACACACAACTCTTCACTAACCATAATTTTATCCATTTACACCAAACTATTAATACACCACATAAAATAAATTTGTTTTTGTAACACTATTGTATATCAATCAAAACTATAATATTTCCACATTTTATATAATTTTCTACTATTTTTAGTTGAAAAGTTTTAAGATTTGTAATTTTATAAAATTTACCCCGCACGAATGTGCGGGTCCAGATCTAGTACATATATACACGTATAGCGTATGCATGTATATAAATCCAGCAAAGTAATAAATTTATTTTAATGAGTTAGAATCGGTGTACATTCAATAGATTGGATTGTTGCATGAAATTTACGATGAATAGAGAGGCAAATGGGGGATAGAGAGAGGTAGAGGAAGAGACAAAGGACAAAAAGAATTTAGAGCAATGCCTTTAATGGCAATGCTTTTGCTCGTTGTTACTAAAGTGACTCGTGATGTTAACGTGACCGGCTCATATGTAATATCATCATCATTTTCCCTTCACTCTTTCTACGTTCAGTCCATTTATACATATACACATACCTTAATATATTTCATATTTGGGTCAATTTTAAGTTAATCCTTCTTAATGATGCTTATGAAAAAGCCCTAATATTTTTATTTGTTAAAAGCTTATTTTGTTTCAAGGAAAGAAAATAAGATGTGTTAATTTTTAAAATGAGAAATGTGATGTGTAACTAAATTAAAAGCATTATACATTACTCGATCTTATACCCAATATGTTAGGCTAACTCGCATTGTCTTTTTGTAGATCTCATAATCAACTTGATACTTGAAGAGAATGGACTGCCTTGAGCAGTTCGTATGGACTGCCTTGATCAGATGACGTTCTAATTAAGATTACAAGAGGCAATAGTCCTAATTAATTTCTTATTTGAAAACATGTCGTAGTCCCAAAAGCAACCAAAATGTGACTTTGCAACTTGACTCTCGGGCGCTTTTCTACTTATTTTCCTAATTAATTTCTTATTTGAAAACATATATTCAGTCGATTATAATAAGTATTAAGAAAATCACACTATTCTGATTATATTTTTGTTTAAATATTAAATTTAAGATTCAAACTATTACAATTATTATCTATGGTTTAAAATAATATATATAGTGAAAGATACCAACAAGTTATTTTAAATTTATATATATTGTGGGAGAGTTGCATCGTGAGAAAGTGGGGTGTATATAAAAATTGGGAACTTTGAGAAAAAAATTGTAAAGAAATATCAAAAATTGAATAAAATAACAAAATATGAAGTCAAAAGAAAAGACGGTTAGTTGTAAAAAAAAGAAGAACATGTAACCAAAAAATTAGCTGAAATCCTGAATATAAATATACTAATCGATTTTGGATTTTAAAAGAAAAGAAGAATAATTGATGTAATAAAAACCCTTTGCTTTAAGGCTCGACCAGTATAAGCCATTTGGTGTTGAGAAGAAAAGAAATGAATTCCATGAGCATACTTCACTAAAATCCTTTTTCTTCTTCTTCTCCAGTATTGTCTTCACACTTGAATTTTAATTAGACACTTGATCATTAGTAGAGAAATGCAAATAAACCAGTGGAATAAATTTAAGATTCCCTCCAGCTTTACCATTAATTTAAATATCACATATTAGATGAAAATAAAAGTCAATTTAGCCAAAACGTTACTACAACACTGATCTTCAACACTTGATGAAAGTAGAAACAATCCATCTTTTGACAAGATATAAAATATAGTAAAAATTTATAAATATACTAAATTTTTCATAAAATTCGAAAATACACCAAATTTAATAGTCATTTGAAAACTATATTTTTATATTAAAAATTTACCGTGATACCCTTTATATTTATTTAAAATTAATTTCAAAAAATTATTTAATTTTAAAATAGTTAAATTTAACCAAAATTCGTTATTAATTTTCGTATAATAAAAAAACTTTAAGAAATTTTATTTAATATGTGTAGAGTGTCATAGTCTAAATTTTGAAAAACCAAAATTAGTAAAAATTATTTTTGATAATATTATTTGGATTTGTAAATTCAAGTAATTCAAAATTATATAATTTATAAGAAAACATAATAATTTATAATTTTTTTCCTCGATATTTTTTGGTAGACTTATCTCATTATATGTTTATTTATTAAAAAAATTCGATTTATTGAACTATCGATTTAGTTTTTTACTTCTTTTGATTTAATTTTTTTTTCTCCATCAGCGTATTTAAAAACAGTCAACTTATGTTTTGGCCAATTGATTTATAACAAAGTCGGTTTTTTTGAACTATTGACTTAATGTTTTTGTTCATCGATTTACAGTTTCTATTTTATCGACTTGTTTATTCATGTTAGATTTATTAGTAAGTTTAATTTTTTGAACTAACGACATATTTCATTTATGTCGACTAATAAATTTATTATCTATTGACTTTTCAACTTATATTTAGGAGGGTTGATTTTTTATATAGACCACTTTTTAAAAACTGTATATAGAATCAACTTACATGACGAGATTGAAAAAAACAAAGCAAAAAGAGAGTCGTTGGAATATTCCTACTACCTTCTGGATGGTGCCGAAGTTAACCTGCCCATGTAATAATTAAATCAAAAACTTCTTTTTTCATTTGTCAAGAAATCAACAACTTCTTATGGCCTACCACAAAACAAAACATGCCCACTTACGAATATGGTCCATGATCTTCCACATTAACGTAGCCATTGTGACCGACTCTAATACTCATTAGACGTGTTCGTTTCATAGACTAGTGTTCTGATTTATACAGTACTGGCATTAATGTGTTCGTCTTAGCCATTTCTGATCCGAATCTAGATACATAAACGGCCTCATAATTGTACTCTAAGGCTTCAATCAAATATCTTATAATGTAAATAGTATACACCTAGTTTATTAATTATACTCCCAATTCCCAAATTAATTAATATGTAGAACTAGTATATATATCTTTTGACTTTTGAAAACTAACTTAAACACCATTCAACTTAGAAAAAAACATGCAAAAAATCCTCCAAGTGACAAAATATGCAAGATCAGTCTCGTACGATCTAAAAAAAATTACAAATAAAACAATGATCATACTAAAAAAACCGTTAATCTAACAATCGTAATTTTTTTTGGAGAGAACGTAAAACACAATCGTTTTTTTCTCTCCAAACAATCACGATCGACCATGTTTTATTCTAAAACATTAACGACTGGCTCAAATTAACCTTTTTTTTTTTAATATGATCGAGGTTTTATTACCAATAATAAGTCTTCTTCTTTTTTTTTTTTAATGCATTTTCATTTCAACGTAATTAAATAATTTTTACCACCTATTTGAAGAGGTGAACAATTGAAGAAAAGAATGTTGTAGACACACTCATTGAATGCATATACAAGTAGGTATATGCATATAAGCTACACTACATGTACATGTACATGTAAATGCAAGTACGTATTTTAGGTATAAAAGTATACATAGTAATAAATATCTTGTAATCACGGAAAAAGGGTAGAGAGGGACCAAAGGTTAGAAGGAGAGGTACGTGGAGTGTCTTATGTGCCGATGGTTTTTAGGATGGACAATACATAACTTTTAATTCCACCGCAACGTGGTTCATTCCTTCACCTATACGACATCGTTTTCAAAAACCTCACTCTCTCTTTCCCTTTTGTCCTCTCTATATTAATCACCTGGATGGTTTCTTCTATTCTCACTACCTCACTCTCCCACTCAAGGGTCCAAAAGTGTTTTCTCTTCTTCAGTTTCTCTTTCTCTTTTTGACAGAAGAGATCGAGAGAAACGATGGGAAGGGCTCCGTGTTGTGAGAAAATCGGGTTGAAGAGAGGTCGATGGACCGCCGAGGAAGATGAGATTCTCACCAACTATATTCAAACCAATGGTGAAGGTTCTTGGCGATCTTTGCCTAAGAAAGCTGGTATATACATATTTATATATCCAAATTACCTCTCCTCATCGTCGATAAATCTCTTAGTCTAGTAATTGCTTAGATTTTAACATTTGAAAAAAGTACTAGTTTCTTCGAGTTGTTGATGCATGAGAAACATGAAAAATGTACAAATCTAGTAACAAAACTTATGTTGTTATATTAATAGAAAAGAAAACTGCTTTCTATTTATATATATGTTCTAATGAAAATTAATGTGTAGGATTGTTGAGATGTGGAAAGAGCTGTAGATTAAGGTGGATAAACTATTTAAGAAGAGACCTGAAAAGAGGAAATATTACGGCCGACGAAGAAGAAATAATCGTCAAGTTGCATTCCCTTCTCGGCAACAGGTATTAAAGAAAATTTAATCAACGTCACAATCGTTCATTTATATGTGATTCATAATTTTGTTATATTTACAATTTTGCCACTGTCTGAATAGTGAATGCTGGGGTCACGTACACAGTACAATTACATGCATGTCATGTCAACTTAAGAAACATATAGAAATGGTCAGAGTTCGAACCAACGGTCCAAAAATAAAATAAAATAAGAAACAAAATTTATCAAATGTATTGCCATGAATGATATCTTGTGACCATCGTAACTTTTCAGCGGTTGATATCACTGTTGGAATAATGGTCCAACCTTTAAAAAATAATATATATACGAGAATATCCAATTTGACTTTTTGTCAATAAAAAGCTTTGGCATTATGTTGCTATATATCCAACGGAATTGACCTCTCTAATTAGTCTTGTCTCATGTGTATTTTTGTGTACGGCCTTGATTGTTACTGGCTCTGTGGCCAGTTTGGTCACTGTAACAATGAGTGGCAAAGTGGTAATGATTCTATAGAGTTAACGCATTGTTATAGCTCCAAATTCGAATTTTACTGTGCCTAAATATCCAAAATATTAATTATATTTAATTTTAATATGATTTAATTATCTAGAATTACAATTATAAATCTAAATATGTCAATTAACTTTACACTTAAATACCCAAAACAACCAAACTATCCAAAAATTATTTGTTATGTTTGTAAAAATTTAGCAAAATGTATTCAAATATAACTAAACTTATAAAAATTAAACAAATTTTTAAGGTTTTTTCGGGTACCCGATATTTTACGTACAAAATCCGATATTTTACATATAAAATATCCAAACCGAACGGGTACCCATATTTTTTGGGTATTTATAGGGTCTAAAATTTTTTACTCAGACCGACCCGAACCCAACTAGACCCGACCCAAACCAAAACCGAATATTTAGAATTACCCTATTGGGTAGTAAACTCAATACCCACTAAACCCGAAGCCGATTGAGTTTTACCCGAACCCGAACGGGTTATCCATATGCCCATGCCTAGTTGGAACAGTCCAACCATTTATTAGTTATAAGTCTATGCAATTTTTTTGACGTCATACATTTTGTTATAATACATTTGGTACTGAATTAATGAAAACTGAAAAGCCAACTTGTATAGAGTGTGTACACTGTACACATAATTAATTGATTTGTCTAAATTCATTTATATAGTCTCACGTGTGTGACTGTGACTATTTTCTTATAGATGGTCACTTATTGCAACACATCTACCAGGAAGAACAGACAACGAAATTAAAAACTATTGGAACTCACATCTCAGCCGCAAAATCTACGCCTTCACTGCCGTTTCCGGAGATGAACACAATCTAGTCGTCGACGATTTAGTCCTGAAGAAATCTTGTTCTTCGTCTACTGGAGCCAAGAACAATAACAAGACCAAGAAGAAGAAGAAAGGAAGAACTAGTAGGTCATCCATGAAGAAACACAAGCAAATGGTGACGGCCTCGCAATGTTTCTCACAACCTAAAGAGCTAGAGAGTGAGATCAGTGAGGGAGAGAAAAATGATAATTTCGAAGGAGAGTCTTTGGGGCCTTATGAGTGGTTGGATGGTGAGATAGAACGGCTCTTGAGTGGTTGTGTATGGGAGTGTACTAGTGAAGAGCCTGTGATTGGAGTAAATGATGAAAAGGTTTGTGAGAGTGGGGACAATAGTAGTTGTTGTGTCGGTTTGTTTGAAGAAGAACAAGGAAACAAGACAAAGATTGGTCACATAGGAATTACAAAGGTTGATGATCATGATCTGAAGGTGGAAAAGGAAAGAGAGGGAAGTGTTTTGAGTTCGACTTCGAATGAAAATAATGATGAAGATTGGTGGGTTGGTCTATGTAATTCTTCAGAAGTTGGGTTTGGGATTGATGAGGAGTTGCTTGATTGGGAGTTTCAAGGTGATGTGACTTGTCAAAGTGATGATCTCTGGGATCTCTCAGACATTGGAGAGATAACATTGGAGTGATACTACCGAGCAAGTGGATCGCACATGAGAAGGCGTAGAAACCCAATAAAACATCGATCTTTTTATTGTAAAGTCTAGTGTTTTGTTTGGTTATAGTGGATCTTGTAGTTATGTAGTAGCTTGTTGGAGTGTGTTTAGAGAGTTCTGAGATGTACTTTCTAGTTTGCAGAACGTTATGCCTTTTTTTTTGTGATTTCGAATTTGTTGCTAGTTATAATGTTTGTTTGTTCTTTTTTTTTTTATGTGAATATTCTGAAATAATGATGAATATATTGGGAATTTTAGAAGTATATGTTTATACTTTTATGTGTTAAAATTCTCAAGTTTCAACGAACCGCCTAAGTATAACTCCTAAAGTGTTTGTCTAACTTTTTTGTTTCAGTTGACGCAAAAAACTTTTTTGTTGGCTAATAAATTTTTTTAGGATCAAGTATTTGAATCAGCAAAAAAAAAAAAAAAAAATGTATTTAAATCAGCTAGTATTTTACTCAAATTAGATTTTACCCTATTATACTTTCACACACTCTTGTCTTTCTCTCTTGTGAAGTTTTAATTTACCCTCGAAGAGTTCAAATAAAACTACCAAAATACTCAAGAATGTTTTTGTCTATAATTACACAACTATATGTACCAAGGAGATCATCGATGATCAATATCTTGATGCGAGTATAAGTAGGTCTTCAAACGACATATTTTCACAAGCTCTTTTCTTTTTTGACTAAAAAGTTATGAGCATGAGCATAGAAATATTGAAACTTTGATTAAAAAATGTTATTGAAACTCATTTATCATAAATAATATCAATGTTTAACAATAATTTTTTAGAAAACAAAATATATTTATTATTATAAAAAATAACTAATGCAAATCTATTGGGGGGGGGTGGGAGATCAACAGTTTTTACTCTATCTAATTTAGTTTTTTTTTAAAAAAAAAACTTTTTGAAAAAAATTCAAAAATCTCAATAGTCCATAAAAATTTTGGATCCTAATCCATGGCTTATGTTGCTTATACCTTGGACCAGTCATAAACTTTGAGTATAGTAAAATTTGAAACCCAATATTTTCACATCATAATTTTGTGCTTTGGCGATGGAAACCTCAACTTTCATAACTCATATATAGCACAAATTTAGGTATATTAAATTCAAAATCTAAGTCTTACGGAAAGTGAAGGTGGCATGGTCGGAAGTATGTACACCAAAAAGTGAAGGTGGATTGGGTCTGCGTTCCATAGAAGAAGCTAATAAAGTTAGCATGTTAAAGCTGATTTGGCGAATATTATCGGTAAAAGATTCTCTTTGGGTGGATTGGGTTAAGAAACGCCTAATAAGGGGCAGTTCTTTCTGGACAGTGAGGGACAATACATCATGTGGATCCTGGATTTGGAAAAAATTGTTGAAATACAGAGACAAAGCAAAACAGTTCTATAAGGTTGCGGTAAAGAATGGTGAGAACACTTATTTTTGGTCTGATGTTTGGTGTTCACTTGGTAGTCTACAGGAGAAACTAGGGGAACGCGGTCACATTGACCTTGGTATCCCAAAAAATGCGACAGTTGCAGAGGTACTAGCCATGCCGAGAAGAAGGAGGCATAGATCAGCTTTGTTGAATCAGGTTGAGGAGGAAATAAAAAAACAGAGACTGTGTCAAAGAGTAGGAGGTTGCAAAAGGAATTCTTCAAGACCGGTTCTCGGTGAACTGGAAGGAGGTTTTAAAGCACATATGTGAGACGAAAAAGGAGAAAACAAGAGTATTTATCCTAAGGTATGTGTTCCAGAACACTATTCACTCGATTTGGGGGGAGAGAAATGCTAGGCGGCACGGTGAACAACCTTCACCGACGGGAAAGCTAGTCAAGTTCATCGACAAAAACATCCGCAATAGACTAAGCACAATTCGCAGTGGGGGGATATCAACGTACGAGGGAGGACTGCAACTATGGTTTAGCTCAAGACAAGGCCAAGACTAATATTTTGCTAAAAACTGTTTTCATGAAATGTATGCATTAAGTTGTAAAACTGGTTTTTTTCCTTTTTGAATATAATTTAACATCTATTCAAAAAAAAAAAAAAAAAAAAATCTAAGTCTTACGACGACACTACAAACTTCTTCAGGAAAATACCATGAGTCATGGCAGAACCGTTTGATAAGTTGGAGCACTCAACACACAAACATGTTCTTTTCAAAGCTATTGCGACCAGTGTCAGTAACAAAAAAAATACATATATATGTAATTACTATATGTGTGCTAGATCTATACGTTTGTATGATGAGAGAGTGTAACGAGTTCGTATGTGCATAAAGTAAATGAGACACAAGAGATTTGTTAACGGGGTTCGGTTAACCTACATCCCCGGGACCAAGTCCAGAAACCATTCACTAGAAAAGGCTGCAACCTACAATTGCTATATGGTATCCACCACTCTTTTCTAGAATTACAATGAAAGAAAACTACTACTCCTATTGTCTTTTCCGACGAGTATAGCTTCTCAACAAAACCATCAAAAGATCTCTCTATCTTGTTGATGGGGCGACGTCACACACATGTGTGCCTCTCTCGATAAACCCTAGACGCGCAAGTCTTCATGTTGCCGTCTCTTGGTATTTATATCAAGTGCCAAAAACCCTAGACGACTTAAGCCACACTTCAAGTCTCTACAAGCAATTGGGCTTAACTTGAACAATGGCCCACGACCCACGTGGCCTTCTTTGCTTTCACACTAGAAAGACTCAATCTCGATCTTGTTCCAACAGCTTCAATAGTGTTCCGACAATATCTGCACTTTCAATATATATATATATACTATCACAACGGCAAACACAACATCGGCGAGACACTAAAATTAAGGTGATGACAAGTAGTGTTGATTAAATTCGACGCTAAGATATCAGCGACACGAGCTCGTTTTCTCTCTCGCTATATACGTCTATGCTTTTGAAATGGAGTATCAGAAACCGCTTCTCTATTGATTATGAAAGCTTTTGGCTTCTATTGAAAATAACACGCCTCACATGATTATTTGAATAAATAATACATTGAAATAAGACAACACTCACGAACAAAGTTCATCACCCTTTCTTTTTTTAAAAGTTCATCACCTTATCTTTATCTTTATTTACTTTCAAGATAATGAATGGTACGATGTTCTTGTATGAACACAAAATAAAAAGAAGAAAACAATGTTCTTATATACGTACGTGTACATTCTATGAAAAGAATCATCCAACTAGCTCCATTAACGAACTCTCGTCACATTATATATTTTACACATCATCTTTTAAAGGACACTATACCAAAATAGTATAGTATTTTTCAAAAGACATCCGAAAGAACCTGCGAATCTTGGCCTTTAAGCAACCTTTGGCTGAAGCAATTCTTCTATCCTTCTCTCCTTTTTTCATTTATTTATCAAATATATTTCACTTTATTCGTTTCTTCCAACTTTCAATGCCTCTCATATATAGATGTAAAACAAATCAAAGTATAATAACTTTCAAAACATGTAACTTCGATTCCTATCTATTAGAAATTGACGAGAGACATGTCGAGAGCAAGAGTACGAGCTGTTACCCATCAAGATCTTGTTCCAAACCCTAAAACCACAGATCTCAGCAGCAAAACCGGAATTTTCATCGCGGTTTTGACTATAATCTCTGGCCTCTCCTGCTTTGTTCTCTGCCTCTATGCCGAAGCAACGAGATCTCAGGTACATTATTATGGACGTATATACATTAAATTTCTCTTATATTTTGATTATGTTTTCAAAATAAATCAATAATCTATATAGATTCATATGGATAACATGTAAAACTAATAATATAAACATTGTAACTCAAACCTCAAGCATACTTAGCTCAATATAGTTGATAAAATCAAAACAAAACCTTTTTTTTAAATACTTTTACCATATGGTTCAATGGTTATATTTAGTCATCATGCCATTACGGTCGTCGCATAGCCGGTCCAAAATATGTTGGCAATGATTCCCAATTTCATGTAGGCGACATGGGGAAGCAAAACGTGCGTGTATAACGGTAGCGGGAAAACGCCGTTGTTGTGCGGTGCGATTGCGTTCGTGGGACTAGCGGTGGCGATGGTGGGCTTGCACATGTACTTACTTATCGCAGTTACCTCATCACCTCCGCTGGTTCTGGTTGAGTGGGATCCTGACTCTGTTCCTGCGAAGAGGCTCACGTTTCAAGCTGCCTTCTTCTTCGTCTCAACATGGTAAGTAGACTTATTCCATTTTGTTTCTTTACTTTATTTGTGATACTGACCATAGCTTAAGTCAATGATAATGTTGTAATTATATTATTTTTTGTTCCTATAAGGGTTTGCTTTGGTGTTGGAGAGGTTCTACTGTTGGTTGCACTTAGTGTGGAATCAGGACATCTAAAGAACTGGTCTAAGCCAAAACCTACTTGTCTAGTAATCCGGCAAGGCTTGTTTTCAGCGGCCGGAGTGTTCTCACTTCTAACCGTCTTTCTAGCCACGGGACTTTACCTAACCGCTCTACAAGCACATAGAATCTCTAAGGATCTTCAAAATACACATAGAGAAATCCTCGAGGCATCAGTTCTTTATGCATCTCCTCCAAGATCTCCGACTAATCGGATGGCTACGGTAGCTCGAGAAGGTCCTGCTACGGTTAGAGATGAGTCGACGTCTTTGGAATATCTTGTTTCTTTAAAGCAAATTGCACATATAGTATAGTGTACAATGTATAGTAGCTAAGATATACTAGTTAACATAATCATACGAGAAAAACAATGTTCTTACATAAGCAATACAAAAGTACATCTCCGCACCAAAACCTACTTTGTCCAATCAATACATGAAACCTCTGAACCAAACCAGTTTTATACACCGTCCCAAAAACCTACATTAAACCGGTTAGCATAACTCACAGATGAAAATCATTTCTACCTGGTTCAAGATCCACAAACTTTAGCCTGGTTCTCATAAATCTGAAGTTTCCCCAAAACTCAAACCAGACCAAACTAAAATCAATGTAAAATCAGATAGCATACATAACCATATTCATGATTTAGTTCGGTTAGGTTCAAATTCAGTCTGATCCCCACTCAGTCTTCAGGCTTTTATCTGACCAGTGGATCGTTTTCTGCCTATTACAAACTTACTTGTAGCTGTGTCGTTGCGCGATAGCTCTGTTGTCACTGGCCGGACAACTGATGGAGGACGAGTTCCAGGAGCAAAGAGTCTTGGAACTTCAGAAGCTTCTGGCCAATCAGAGACACTTGGAAGCGGATTAAAATCAGCTGCGTAAACTCGAAGTGAACTCTCTGTATTGTAACAGTCATCTACATACTGCAAATGGTCACTGTTCATCCTCCTGCAAGCTGCTAACACATGCGAACACGGATACTTGCAAAGTTGCCATATTCCACACATGCAAACCCGGTTGCTAAAATTAACAACAAATCTCTTCTTTCCAACTTGCATCATTTCCGTGACCTGACACCTCTCTCCGGTCTGGTCTAATGGCAATACATCATGTGTTTGAGAAGCTACCTTGTACTCTTCAAGATTTTTCATGACATGTTTAGCGAATAGGTCTCTTCCGTTCAATGAATCTGTGGGAAGACCATGACGAGATTTGAAAAGCTTTGCCAGGTCATCAAAGATTAGCAAGATGCAAGTTGTGATTGGAAAATGCAGAGCTTTGTTTATGAAACCATAAGTCGTAAAGATTGTGTTTGCAGTCATGATCCCAAACCTAATCCCGCCATCATCGTAAGCCAGAGCCCATCGACGCAGAGGCATTTTTTCTAACCATTTTCGAGCCTCTGGGTCCATCTTTTCGATTTTCTTCAAGTAATAATCGAAACTTGATATGTCCATCGTAGACCCAGCCTTGTAAACCAACTCTGTCATGAGGTTGTTATGGAAAACGTCATAAAATTTAAAGCACATATGCCTAAGACAGAACCGGTGTTGCGCCCACTGACACTCAGGTTCGTTAACAACTGCAACTATGTCAGGATTCAGACTTGTTATAAGACAAACGCCTTCCCTTTGCGTCACTTTATTTCTGATGCAAGCAAAGAACCAACGCCAGGTATCAGCTGACAAACTTTCTTGGGTAGTAATCGCAAACGCAAGTGGAAAAAGCCGGTTTTCAGCATCAAATCCCTCTGCAACCAACATTTTTGCAGGGTAATTACCGTTCAAGTCTATTGTATCCACTATGATCAAAGGTCTCAAGTGAGGAAACCCTTGAATTGACTGCTGAAACGCCCAAAACACGGAACGAAAGGTTGCATCTTTGCGATCAGGAAAAAGATCATATTGCCATTCCAAGACCATCTTGTTAGATGAGCTAAGGGCAGCCATGAACTTGGGCAATACATTAAAACTGTTGTCCAAATCTCGCAAGATTGCAGTGATCGCTTTCTTTTTAGCATCCCACATATTAGTGCTCGAGACTGTGTAACCAAATTCTTCTTTCACCCACATGTTTAGCTCTGCAACTGAGAGTGAGGGCTGAGCCTTGATTAGACCTTTGAGCTCACCTGCCAGAAAATCTGAGCTCACATTTGCTGGCTTACAACTATGTGGACCTACATATTCTGTTATCTTGATGCCATTGTTGTTTGTTTTAGCAGCCTTAAGAATCCATACGCAGTAAGTCTTGCACTTATAATCATAGGTACCTGAAAAGTCACTTTCGTATTTAGTGTACATTCGTTGTCTTCTATTAGAGTACAACTTCACTGCTTTCTCCAACTCATATTTATCTCGAAAAACCATCCCAAGATGCAACTCACGTTCATCAAGCCATGAACTAGAGAAAATCATCTCCTCTGAGACATTATCTATGAGGCTTTTTGCTGGAACTGGATTTTTCATATTCGAATCCTTCTGCGCATCCCCAGCATTGCCACTATTTTTTCCACAGTTACCGCCATCCTTACTAAAGCTTTTTGTTGGAACTGGATTTTTCATATTCGAATCCTTCTGTACAGCCCCTGCATTATCACCATTTTTTCCACAGTTACCGCCATCCATACTCTCATCTTCCTCAATCCATCCGTTACTGTTACCCTCCTGCAGAGTTTTTAATGTGTTATCTCTCACATTTACATCTGCATCGATATTACCATCCTCTTGCCGAGAACGCTTCCGGGTCACCTGATTCGCCAAGGAACTAGCAACAGGACCAATACCTTCATCAGGAACCGGTTTGACTTCTAAATACAACTCCACATTGTTAATAGAAGGATGACAACTTGGAACCTCAAGCATAGTCTCTAAACTACAATCATCCACAATAGGCATACGCACATACTTCACCATAGACTTTTGAACAATGTAAGGATACCTACACATCAATCCAATCTGAAACTTCCCCTTTTCAAATCCAGTAACTCGATGCAGATGATTCAACAATTTGGGTAAATCAACTTTGCTTTCCACTCTAATAACTCTTGGAATTGATCCTTCATAGTATGGACCATCAGGCCCATCTTTTATACAACCATTCCAATAACACAACACTGGAATCTTTCTTGTATCCATAAGTAGAACCACCAACAAAACCTTCAAAAGAATTTCAATAAAAACGATAAAGGAGAATGCTTTCTAAAGGAATCGAAAAACCCAAAACCATATTAGTGAATTCAGAAACTCTATAGCTCAATTTCATAAGATAATCATAATAATACGCCATGTAAGAGCGATAAAGTTGAATGCTTTATAAAAGAGAAACCCATCAAAAGGATAAACCCTAGAAAACGAGACATCTAGGAACTGTGATGATGAAGTAAATAACGATTTTTACCTGCCTTAGGCGGGAAAGAGCTCGCTTGCAGATGAATTTCTGTGTGATTTTACCGGAAAAAAGTTGTTTTTCCTTCGCCGGAGAAAACACTACACAGTTTCCACGGTTTACACTACACTTAACGAGTAACTCTGCAAATATGGTCAAAGTTGGTTCTTTTTATCGTCGGTAAACGAGTACTTTACCATTTTCACGGTTTAGTTCGGTTTAGTTTGCAATATGGTAAGAATTTTTAGTTTATGGAGAAATAATTATTGACTAGTTATTTCAATTTGGACCTCATTAACCCCTTAATATATAGCATTCCTACCGTTTTATTGTAAACTTTATCTTAAATTTAGATTATTAATGATTTAATTTACTGTTTAATCACGGTTAAATAATTTAAAACGATGATTAGAAAACCCTCCCGCTTCTTTAAATTGAAACTGTTGTCGCTGCTTCTTCTTCACCATTCTTCGTCTCTTCACTTTGCAAATCCCTTTTGCAGTTGAAATTTCTAGGGTTTCTCTTCGATTTTGGGAGTTGATTCAAATTTGGTTTAGAGAGGTCGAAGAATCGAGAAAGCTATGTCCTTGCGACCGAGCGCGAAGACAGAGATCCGTCGAAGCCGTTACAAGGTCTCTGTAGATGCGGAAGAAGGACGACGAAGAAGAGAAGAATTTTTAGTCGAGATTCGTAAGAACAAACGCAAGGAAAGCTTGATGAAGAAACGCCGCGACGGTGTTAGTGAAGTTTTGCCTCCTGCTTCCGACGATCCCTTTGAGAGTTTGGTAAGAGTTTGATCTTTGGTTTTGGATTAGTGAAGTTTAGGTTTTGAAAGATACGACCTTTATCTTTTTACTCGAATGGTTTCGAATTGGGTAATTAGATTAGAACTCTGGTGATGGTTGTAGTTGGAGATAGCGAATATGATTACTGGGGTTTTCTCGGATGATCCTTCATTGCAGCTTGAGTACGCGACTCGGTTCAGGAAGATTCTATCATTGGGTAAAATTCTTTAACTTTTCTTGATCTTGATTTGAAAAGATACGAACTTTATCATTTACTCAAATGGTTTCTTTATATATGTTCAGATAGTAGTCCACCTATCGATAAAATGATAAAATCTGGAGTTGTGCCACGTTTTGTTGAGTTTCTTAAGAAGAATGATTACCCTAAGCTACAGGTTAGAAGAAAAAGTTCCCATCTTTGATGATTAGTGTAATCTTTGGTTCTGAATTCTGTGATCTTTTTATAGCTTGAGGCTGCTTGGGCTTTAACAAACATTGCTTCTGGAACATCTGAGCATACCAAGGTGGTGATTGATCACGGCGCTGTTCCGATCTTTGTTCAGCTTCTTGCTTCCCCTGATAATGATGTCCGTGATCAGGTATAGTGCTTCTTTGAATATGAATGGATTATCTATGTGAGTTCAAATTCTGAAAAGTTTGTTGTTACACCTAATTTTTCAGGCTATATGGGGACTGGGTAATGTTTCTGGTGATTCAATACAGTGCCGTGACTTAGTTCTTAACTCTGGGGCATTTATTCCACTGTTGCATCAACTGAATGAGCCTGCTACGTTGTCGATACTTAGAAATGCTACTTGGACTTTATCAAACTTCTTCCGTGGCAAGCCTTTCTCGCTCTTTGACCTGGTATACTAACTATCATCATATCTTTTGACCTGGTATACTTCTGCCTGTACTTAACTTGTGAACATGATTAACAGGTGAAACCTGCTCTCCCTGTACTTAAACGACTTGTTCATTCGGATGATGAACAAGTCTTGTCAGATGCTTGCTGGGCATTTTCGAATCTGTCTGATGGTTCAAATGGAGATATCCAAAGTGTGATAGAGGCTGGTGTTGTCCCAAGACTAGTTGAACTTCTCCAGTTAGTACTTATCCAATATAAAAGTTTAACGCTTTGCTGATATGTTTGGATAATGAAGGCTGACAATATTTTCTTTTGCAGACACCCTTCTCCAGTTGTGATTGTTCCTGCACTTCGTACCATTGGGAATATAGTTTCTGGAAATAGTCTGCAGACCCAGGTATGTAATTCATTTTCCATTTATGGAACCTTCAAGAACACTTCCTGTAGTGAATTTATCGTTTTTCAAAGAAATAGCACTATCAAAAGCTTATTTTGTTATCCTATATCATTATATGTTGCTTGAGTACTTGATTTTGTAACCAAATAACTCTTTGAACTTATTTTTCAGTGTGTGATCAATTGTGGTGCTTTACCCGTTCTTGCGGACCTGCTTACTCAAAAATATACGAGAGGCATAAGGAGGGAAGCTTGCTGGACGATTTCAAACATCACTGCAGGCATAAAAGAACAAATTCAGGTGAGCAGTTTTTGTTGCTTCCTCACGTACATGAACAAACTTACATATCTGTATATGACCGCCCGTTGCTATCACTAAATGTGTACTATTTGTCTTTCTTTCACTGATGATGATAACAGTCGGTTATTGATGCAAATTTGATTCCAACATTGGTCAATCTGGCTCAACATGCTGAATTTGACATAAAGAAAGAAGCTGTATGGGCAATTTCAAATGCTTCCGGTTGTGGTTCTCCTAATCAAATCAAGTACATTCCTGTCTTATCTCTTTATCACTTTTTTTAATGCTTATTGATCATCAATTCACAATCTCCATTGGTGTGTATCAGATACTTGGTGGAACAGAATTGCTTAAAAGCTTTATGTGACATCCTAGTGTGTTCAGATCTAAGAATCATCTTAGTGTCTCTAGATGGATTGGAAATGATTTTGAAGGCTGGAGAGGTGGAGAAGAACACAAGACACGTGAACTCTTATTGTCAAATAATTGAAGATGCGGAAGGGCTAGAAAAGATCGAGAACCTGCAGCTCCATGTCAACAATGAGATCTATAAGAAAGCTGTGAAGATTCTGCAAACATACTGGCTTGTAGAGGAAGGTGGTGATACTGATGGTGATAATGATGATGATGATGATGATGATGGTTGTTCTCAACCGGGCTTCCAGTTTGATTTTACTCGTTAAGATCCCACAAAACCTGACATTGAAGGAAAGGCATGCACATATGATGGGTCAAACTCAAAGAGTGAGTCAAGTGTCAAGTTCTTGATGACATTAGGCTTTACTTGGTTTGTTAATTGAGAGAGTACATAGTTGATATAAAAGCAGTGGCTCCATTTTTCACGGAGTTCCACATTGTTTAGTGTTTTTTGAAGTATTTTGGGGCTTTTAGAGTTGATGCAGCATCTGGTGTCTACTTAAGACCATCTTTATCAATGGGTTCTTAAGAAAATCTTAAGATGATCTTAGTAATTTTTTAGTATTATTACTAAGAACCAAAGTTAAGATGAGTTGAGGGAGTTATTAACAGTAAGGACCTTCTTACTAAAACAGAGGTTTTGCCTCAGCCTCAAAACAGACAAGATGGGCCGACTAAAGTCCAACAAGGTTCAAAGATTTCGGTCCATGAGAAGCCCATTCCCACAGTCTCTGCAACGGTCAAAAGCAGAGTACCACGAACTTGTCGTGTTCAAGGTACGGAAGGGCTACGTCATGAAACACACCTGAGTAACAGATTTAACGCGTTGGGATCCGGAGCAATCATGTGCAGCTAGGACACGCGTCATATTCTCTGTGATTACTCTTTTCTTTATATAGCAATAAGCAATGTATCTTTTGGATTAAGTTGAATAAGAAAGCAAATCCTTTTATCATCTTCTTCAAGCTTTTCTCTAAATCTGAGAAAACCTTCATGGTATCAGAGCCATGGAAGGCTCTATCACTCCTTTTTCACCTTCCGCAGTAAACATCACTCACTGTGTGACTCTAAAACTCACTGAGAAAAACTATCTTCTATGGAAGACGCAGTTCGAATCTTTTCTTTCAAGCCAGATGCTTTTGGGGTATGTAACCGGAGCTACTGCTCGACCTAACCCTACTACGTCTGTGAGACACGGCGACACGGTGACGGAGACACCAAATCCGGAGTTTCTCAAATGGGTAAGGAATGACCAGAATGTTCTTACCTGGCTTTTTGGATCTCTTTCAGAAGAAGCTCTTCGCGCTGTCTACGGTCTACACACATCTCAAGAGGTATGGTTCACCCTAGGCAAAAAGTTTAATCGTGTTTCAGCAACTAGAAAGTTAGATCTACAGAGGCGTTTGAATAACTTGTCTAAGCAAGGAAAGACTATGACCCAATATTTGTCTGATGCTAAAGTTATTTGTGATCAACTTGATTCTATTGGGTGTCCTCTTACTGATCAAGAAAAAATCTATGGGGTTTTACATGGATTGGGTCAAGAGTATGAATCCATAACTACCTATCTGGAAAACTCAATGGATCTGTTTCCTGGACCAAGCTTTGAGGATGCAGGTTATAAGCTGATTAACTTTGATGATAAGCTTCAAGGCTACAATGCAACTGCTGCTGTTACTCCACACCTTGCGTTTGCTGCTGATGGTAACTCATACAATCAAGGACGAGGTCAGAGTTATGGCCGTGGATCTCGTGGAAAGGGTCGTGGCTATTCTACTCGAGGCCGTGGGTTTCACCAGCAGATTAACCACTCCTCTGACTCTGGTTCAGAACGTCCAACGTGTCAAATTTGCGGCAAGTATGGGCACTCAGCGTTCAAGTGTTACAAGAGGTTTGATCATGCATATCAGATGGATGATTTTCATCAGGCTATGGCCACTATGAAGCTGTCAGATCAGTCCTCAGGCCATGAATGGGTACCAGACTCAGCTGCTACAGCCCACATTACCAACTCAGCTGCTCAACTTCAGAATGCTCAACAATACAGAGGTGATGATGGAGTTATAGTAGGTAATGGCGACTTCCTTCCGATCACACACATTGGTTCCATTGCTCTTCCTACTATGCAAGGTACTACTTTACCATTAAAGAATGTTCTTGTGTGTCCGGATATAACCAAGTCATTGTTGTCAGTCTCAAAACTCACATCTGATTACCCCTGTTCCTTTACATTTGATTCTGATGGTGTTATTGTGAAGGACAAACGGACCAAACAGCTCCTCACACGAGGAAATCGAACTAAGGACCTCTATGTGTTGGAAAACCCTCAATTTGTTGCTTTCTACTCATCAAGACAACAAGCTACAACCGATGGGATTTGGCATCAAAGGCTGGGTCATCCTCACAATGAGATTCTTCATCAGTTATCTACAAATAAAGCTATAGTAATGAATAAATCAAGCTCCAGTCTGTGTGATGCTTGCCAGTTGGGGAAAACTTGTAAACTTCCTTTTTCTGCTTCAGATTTTGTCTCTAGTAGACCTCTTGAACGCATCCACTGTGATTTATGGGGACCATCTCCTATTGTGTCATCACAGGGATTTCGTTATTATGTCATTTTCATTGACAATTATTCAAGATTCACTTGGTTTTATCCTCTTAAGCTAAAGTCTGACTTCTATTCTATCTTCATACTGTTTCAACAATTGGTGGAAAATCTCTTCATGACAAAGATTGGAAACTTTCAGTGTGATGGTGGTGGTGAATTTACAAGCACAAAGTTTGTGTCTCATTTGGCAAGTTGTGGGATCAAACAGCTCATTTCTTGTCCATACACCCCACAGCAAAACGGTTTAGCCGAGAGGAAGCATAGACACATCACTGAACTTGGTCTTGCTATGATGTTTCAGAGTAGAGTTCCTCAATACTTGTGGGTGGAAGCTTTCTTCACTGCCTCTTTCTTGGGAAACCTCTTACCTTCTTCAGTCCTACCAGGTAATAAAAGTCCTTATGAGCTACTTATAGGTAAGCCACCAGTCTATACCTCCTTAAGAGTCTTTGGTTCAGCTTGTTATCCCTGCTTAAGACCCTATACAGAAAACAAGTTTGATCCAAGATCTCTCCTATGTGTCTTCTTAGGATACAATGAGAAATATAAAGGCTACAGATGCCTTTATCCTCCTACTGGTAAGGTTTACATATGCAGACATGTATTGTTTAATGAACTCCACTTCCCTTTTCAGAAAGAGTATGCTTCATTGATACCTGCGGCTACCTCTGCTCTCCTATCTGCGTGGCAACAGAGTTTGCCTCAGTCTCCTCAAAACAGAGAAACTCCTACTCCACTTCAACAACATGATTCTGACTCTACTGCTCCGATACCTACAGTGGTACAGGGATGTCCTGAGCGTACGACAGCCTTAGATGCTGCTTCTATTGGCGACAGCGTCTCTGTACCTCTCTGTAGCCCGTCTCTGCAGCTCATACATACCACTCCGATCAACAGTTGTCCAAGTTCACCTGCAACACCTACAACTTCTACAACACCTGCAACAACACCTGCAACATCACCTTCTACTTCAATATTTTCTGAAGAAGACTTTCCTCCACTGATAAGTCCAACAAGTAATCAAGCTCCAAACAATGATCATTCCATGATCACGAGAGCTAAGGATGGAATAAGGAAGCCAAATCCTCGTTATGCTCTGCATACAGTCAAGAGTAACTACCCGGAGCCTAAAACAGTAAAAACAGCTCTTAAAGACCCGGGATGGAATGGTGCTATGACTGAAGAAGTAGACACTATGCATGAGACCAAAACTTGGGATTTGGTTCCACCAGAAGAAGATATTCAACCACTTGGCTGCAAATGGGTTTTCAAAACTAAATTGTGTGCTGATGGTTCTCTAGATAAACTAAAAGCTCGATTGGTAGCAAAGGGATATGAGCAAGAAGAAGGGGTGGATTTTGTTGAAACATATAGCCCTGTGGTTCGAACTGCTACAATCAGAATGGTACTCCACAATGCTACAATCAATAAGTGGAACATCAAACAGTTAGATGTTAAGAATGCCTTTTTACATGGAGACTTGAAAGAGACTGTGTATATGGTTCAACCACCAGGCTTTGAAGACACAAGTAAGCCAGACTACATATGCAAGCTTAAGAAAGCTATTTATGGTTTAAAACAGGCACCTCGGGCCTGGTTTGACAAGTTTAGCTCGTTTCTTCTTGAGTTTGGGTTCACCTGCAGTTATCCTGATCCATCTCTCTTTGTTTACATCAAAGGACCGGATATCATGTACCTATTACTCTATGTGGATGACATGTTGTTAACAGGAAACAACACAAAGCTCATGGAACAGCTACTGGTGAGTCTGAGTAGCATCTTCCGGATGAAAGACATGGGTCCTCTTCACTATTTTTTGGGTATTCAAGCACATTTTCATGAGAATGGTTTGTTTCTTAATCAAGAAAAGTATGCCAGAGACCTCCTAGTCTCAGCAGGAATGGCGGATTGCGCTCCCATGCCAACACCACTTCCTCTACAACCGGGAAAGTTCTCACATCAGTCAAAAGCTTTCTCGGATCCTACTTACTTTAGAAGTTTGGCGGGAAAACTTCAGTATCTCACACTGACAAGACCAGACATCCAATTTGCGGTCAACTTTGTTTGTCAGAAGATGCATGCTCCATCAGAAGATGATTTCCACTTGCTTAAAAGGATCATTCGCTATGTTAAAGGTACACTTCAGTTGGGAATAAATCTTTCAAACTCAACAGATTCAACCCTTAGAGTGTACAGTGATAGTGACTGGTCAGGATGTAAAGACACAAGCAGGAGTACTGGTGGGTTCTGCACGTTCCTTGGTGAGAACATTATATCTTGGTCATCAAAGCGCCATCCCACAGTCTCTCACTCCTCTACGGAAGCGGAGTACAGAACCATGTCTATGGCCTCTCGTGAAATAATGTGGCTGAACTCTTTGTTGCGTGAAACTGGAGTAGCTCAACCTATTACTCCTGAAATGTACTGTGACAATCTCTCAGCAGTGCATCTTACAGCAAATCCAGCCCTGCACTCCAAGTCTAAACATTTTGCTCGGGACTTTCATCATGTCCGTGAACAGGTTGCTCTTGGAGCTCTTATTGTGAAGCACATTCCTGCAACTGATCAGCTAGCAGATGTCTTCACCAAATCTCTACCTCAACAAGCCTTCTTTGATCTTCGCTTCAAACTTGGTCTCTGCTCACCACCGACGCCAAGTTTGCGGGGGAGTATTAACAGTAAGGACCTTCTTACTAAAACAGAGGTTTTGCCTCAGCCTCAAAACAGACAAGATGGGCCGACTAAAGTCCAACAAGGTTCAAAGATTTCGGTCCATGAGAAGCCCATTCCCACAGTCTCTGCAACGGTCAAAAGCAGAGTACCACGAACTTGTCGTGTTCAAGGTACGGAAGGGCTACGTCATGAAACACACCTGAGTAACAGATTTAACGCGTTGGGATCCGGAGCAATCATGTGCAGCTAGGACACGCGTCATATTCTCTGTGATTACTCTTTTCTTTATATAGCAATAAGCAATGTATCTTTTGGATTAAGTTGAATAAGAAAGCAAATCCTTTTATCATCTTCTTCAAGCTTTTCTCTAAATCTGAGAAAACCTTCAGGAGTTGCTTACCTAAGAGCCAAAAAGAGGTAAATCTTAACTTTGGTTCTTAGTAATAATACTAAAAAATTACTAAGATCATCTTAAGATTTTCTTAAGAACCCATTGATAAACAAGGGTTTTGTGAGGTTAATTAGCATTAACAATTTTTACTATGCAAAGATTTTTAGTAATTCTTTAAAGTATGTATGTGTGTTATTTGATCATTACTAAAACCACAAAGTTGACCACTCGAAGAAACCGTACTCAGTTCCGTATTTGATCAAACACCGGTCAAAGTGGCGCCAAAAAAATACCTTTTTCTCTGTTTCGCCGTTTTGGCGGGTGGCTTCTTCTGATAATAGACAAGGAATAAAGGGGCATTTTCGTCATTTAAAAACTAAAATCATAGGCATTGGGTCCAAAATCTCTCTCTATGTGACACTCTTCTTCTTCACTCTCTTCTCTGCATGTTTTGTGAAGAGACGTGATCTTTTCTAAACCCTAACCAGAAACCAGATTGATTCTCATCCTTTCGTTACTACTTCCATTTCCCTCTGCTTTTTAAACCCTAGATTAAATCTCTACTTCTATTTAGATTCGAGTGAAGATGATCTGTTGAAAATGATGCTGATCGCTCTCTGTGTTTGTTTGTTTGTATGATTCAGAAACCATGAAAACAAGAGCTGGAGATATGATCGAATATAACAACAACAAGACTTGGGCTTCTTGTGGTACAAGCAAACCCCATCATTGGCGTTGGCGTGGTGGTCCTAAGGTTAGACCTATAAACCCTAATTTCACTCCGATTTGGGGGAAATCATCACTGATCTTTCTGATCCGATCCTAACCAATACGCCTCCTAAGAAATTGAAATTTGGGTTTGATTAAACCGGAGTTAAACCCAAAACCAAACTGAATCAATTTAATTTGATTAAACCGGGTATTAATCGAAACTAAATGAAACCAAACCGGTTTTCTGATTACGATAATTAGAAAATCGTTACTTTCTCCTTTCGCTTCTTTAAACTCCTTGGCCATTTTTGTTTGCATTCTTGCTTAAATTTCTTTGCCTCTTTCACTTCTCAGTTAAGATTTTTTCGAGGGTTCTCTTCAAGTTTTGTAAACTGCGATTCTCTTGGAAGAGAGGTCAAAGAAGAGAGAAAGCCATGTCGCGGATACCCAAAGCCAAGACAGATGAGGTTCGTCTAAACGTGTCTCACAAGTAATCAATCTCTGGTTTTGGGTTTCGTTTTGATGCAGTTTTTGATTGTGTAGGTGGTCGAAGATATGATCGATGGTCTTTTTTCAGATGATCCTTCAAGACAACTTGAATCCGCTACCAAGTTCAACGCATTTTTATCATCACACGGTATAAAAACTTCCTCTGTTTACTTTCTTTACTTTTCTTGAATGTTTCTTTAAGTTTCTTTCTTCTTATATTTGTTGTCCAGAGGAAAACCTTCCTATCGATGAGATAGTAGTATCTGAAGTTGTGCCACGTTTTGTTGAGTTTCTTGCGAACAAAGATAACACCGAGCTTCAGGTTAGGAGAGAAAGTTCCCATGAATATTTATATTGTAATGATTGGTCATATCGTCCTCTAATTCTGATATTCCATGATCGTTAGTCTGCTGCTGCTTCAGTTCTAGTATGCATTTCTAAAAAGAACACCGAAGTGCTGATTGATCACGGTGCTGTTCCAATCTTTGTCCACCTTCTTCGTTTCCCTACTGGTTATCTCCAACTTCAGGTAATATTTTACTTCTTATAGATAAAAATGCCAGATATGAGTTGAAATTTTGATGAAATTTAATTGATGTTATACCTAATTTGCAGGCTACAGGGGCACTAGGTAATGTCGCTAGTGCTTCAACACAATCCCGTGACTATGTTCTAAGGTGTGGTGCATTGAGACCACTGTTGGCTCAGCTGCATGTGAATAAGCATATAATGATGCTTAGAATGGCCGCTTGGACTTTGTCAACGCTCTGCTGTGGCCAGCCTCGGCCTCCATTTCACCAGGTCTTCTAGCTTCTCTCTCTATCTCCAGTCTTTATTTCCTCGGTTTGTATACATTAACATATGGAAACATGATTAACAGATGAAAGCTGCTCTCGCTCCACTTGAAAAAGTTCTTCATTTCAATGATAAAGAAGTCTTGTCACATGCTTGTAGGGCAGTTTATTACCTGTTTGATGGTTCAAGAGAAACCTTCCAGAGTTTTTTCGACGCTGGTCTTGTCCTAAGACTAGTTCAACTTCTCGGGTTAGTACTTACTCCAAAACAAAATTTTAAAGCCTTTGCTACATGTTTAGATAATGAAGGCGGACAGTTTTTTTCTTTTGCAGATACGGTTCTCCATCTGTGATTTATCTTGCAATACGTACCATTAGGAATCTAACTAATGTAGATGATCAGCAGACCCAAGTATGTACTTTAAATTCCATTTATGGTACCTTGTAGAACACTTCTTGGTCATAATGTCTCTTGAATGATTATATCACTATACCGATATAAGTTGAGAGGATGCATTGTTATATGTTGCGATTAGATTTAGTAAAATTTTCTCTGTTTTACTCTCCGATTAGGATCTGAATAAACCTCTGATCTGAACTTATTTTTCAGTTGGTGATCAATTGTGGTGCTTTACGTTTTCTTGCCAACCTACTTACTCGGAACCATCGGATAAACATAAAGAGGGTAGCTTGCTCGACGATTTCAAACATCACTGCAGGCACTAAAGAACTAATTCAGGTTAGAAGTTTTTGATTGTTGTAGTTGCAGAACATAAAAAACAAATTTATCACTAATTGTTTTCTATCTGTCTCTCTTTACTCTAATGTATAGCAGTCAGTTATTGATGCAAATTTGATCCCAATCTTGGTCAATCTGGCTCAAAATGCTAAACTTGGCATAAAGGAAACAGCTTTATGTGCAATTGTAAATGCCACCCTGCGTGGTTCTTATGCTCAAATCGAGTATGTCGTCCTTGTCTTCTCTCTATGTTACTTTTCATTGCTTTTTATTGATCATATCAAGTAACAATCTCAATATATTGGTGTGATTCAGATACTTGGTGAAGCAGGGTTGCATAAAACCTTTATGTGATCTCCTGATATGTCCAGATCGAAGGATCATCTCAGTGTGTCTGGATGGATTGGAAAACATTTTGAATGCCGCATGGGCAGAGAAGAAGATAGAAGACATGCAAAGTTACTGTCAGCTGATTCAAGATGAGGACGGGATAAAAAAGATTCAGAAGCTGGTACAAATCGTAAGCTATGAGATCGACAGGAAGGCTTCGAAGATTCTGCAAACATACGGGATGATATATAAAGGATGATGAGCAGACACAACAACCTCCAAGTTGATGATCATCTTGGTTTTTCAGTTGTCAGAGAACCAAGTTCCAGTTCTTGTGGAGGATTCAACTTCAGTTGAAATGTTACCAAAAAAAAAAAAAAAAAATCCAACTGTTAAAAGTCTTCATCTACTTGATGAGATCCCACACTAGCTGATATTAGAATGTAAAAAACCTCTGACATGGAATTAAAAGCTTGCACCTTTGGACATGAAACTACAAATACAAAGCATAGAAGAAGAACTCAAATTATAGTATTAAACCAAACAGAAGCAGAACCAGTTTGAGTTCGATCAATTTCGCTCATATATGGAATATTGATCGAGGTCAAACCAGACCCTTCATTCATTACATTGATAAAACATATCTCTAACCAAATTTAACAGAACCAATACATACATACAAATAAAGAAGTAATTAGAAGTTAATTTGAAAGAAGATGCAGAGAGACTATCTTCAAATTGCTGCAATAGTGTTTGCAAAGTCGTGGAAAAAATCAGAGAATCGTAGATCATCTCCATCCAAACATCTCTGAAACACCAAATCTGAATCTTCAAGGCCCTCAAAATCAGAAAACAGATTTGGATCCACCGAGACATGATCATCAACAACAGCCTCAGAATTGGTCAAAAGAGTTGCAGTAGTAGTCTCATGAAGTTCCTGATGAGTGTTTTCGGAAAACCAATGATCGAGGGAGCTTTCAAAATTAGTCTCGAAATCAATGAGTTGATCAATATCCATCTCCAGATCATAATCCAAGTTTCCTTCAGGTAAAGCATTGTTGTTGTTGTTATCCATGTCTTGATCATAATCCAAGTTTACTTCAGTTAAAGCATTGTTGTTGTCCGTAACACAAAAACTTTCACAAATCGAGAGAATCTGATCTTGTTCTTCAGTGATCTCGTTGAAATTTGCAGGTGATTCATCAGGGACGCAACAAATTGCAGAAGTACTAGACTGAAGATTTAGGGTTTGATGATCTGGCTCTTGACTAATCTCGTTGAAATTTTCAGGTAAATCATCAGGAATGCAACAAATTGCGGAAGTGGACTGAAGATCTAGGGTTTGATCATGAGTTCCGTGGTCTGAAACAATTATACTCTTCACGTTGTTCTTCAGGTCCTCATGATCACTAACGAAAGCTTGATTACTGACTAAAGCTTCCTCCGCACGCAATTCCTTGAGATTACTCAACAACGTCCACATGGAATCGATCGCGTCACTAAGCTCTTGAGGATTCTCCGATCTGGCAAGGCTCTCGTTATTCCACCAAAACCCTAGCCCTAGATTCTTGCGAGTCAAACAGATACCAACGTCCTCCCTCGTCGCTTTGTTATCCTCCTGAATAGGAACAGGACGTTGTCCGGAGAGAAAAGCAGAGACAAGACCATCAACGGAGGAGTGACCGAAAGAGTAGAAGGAGACGTTGGATTCAGAAGAAGGAGGAGTGGCTAAAATAGCGATTTGTGCATCGGAGAGAAGACAAAGCTGAGAGGCTTTGCTAAAGAGACCTTCACGGCGTTTGGTGCAAGTAACCCTAAGAGAATCTCTCTTCTGTATCATCTCAATCGCAATCTTCCTCCTCGTGCCTCCTTTTTTCACCATTCTGATTTTCTCAATGTTCACCACAGAGAGACTTCAAAGAGAGAGAAAGAGAGAGAGGTTTTTGTTTCTGCGTGTGGAGAAAGATAGAAGATAGGTGACAAGTACTGAAGGCACTATCGCTCATTTAAATAAGGAAATATCGAAACCCCATCATCCTCCTAAACCAATTTCGACCAGGTAAACACTAAACCGATATCGTTTCCATAAAACCTAATTAAGAGCCAAACCAATTCGATTTCAATTTTTTAACGGTTAGCATAATTAATAAACCCGATTAAACCATCGCTCCTAAACCTATTTCATCTAAACCTTCATGGAGTCACTTTGTTTCGTTTTGAGACTCTCTCTCTTCTCTCTAACACTCTTCTTCACTCTCGTCTCTACATTTTATCTCAACAGGTTGTGACAGCAAGCTCCGATTAAAACCCTAAAAAAAATCAAATCACAGTGAGAAGGTAAGGATCTGCTTATGATTCGGGTGATCGAAGATGATCTGTCGAATATGATTCTGATCGCTCTCTGTGTTTGTTTCAGGTCTTGGTTGATTCAGAAACCATGAAAACAAGAGCTGAAGAAGATATGATCGAACAGACCAACATGAAGACGACTTTTACTGATCGTGGTCTTCGTCGTGGTGGTGATAAGGTGATTAGACCTATAAACCCTAATTTCACTCCGAATTGGGGAAAAATCGAGATTGATCTGATGATCCGATCCTAACCGATACGCCTAACAAATTGAAATTTGAGTTTGATTAAACCGGAGCTAAATCCAAAACCAAACTGACTCAATTTAATTGGATTTAACCGTATTTTAATCGAAATTAAATCTAAACCAAACCGGTTTTCTGCCGAGCGCTAATTAGAAAACCGTTTTGTTCTTTCTTTCTTTCGCTTCTTTAACTGTTTTTCGCTCCTTCACCATTTTTGTTTAGACTCTTTCTCAATTGCAAAAGTTCTTAGCCTCTTTCACATTCAGTTGAGATTTCTAGGGTTTCTCTTTAAGTTTCGTAAATTGCTTTTGCTAGGTCGAAGAAGAGAGAAAGCCACGTTGCTTGAAACCCAAGCTTCGTTTAAACGATCTCACACCAAGTTTCAGCAGCTATGAGTATACTCGATGGCCTTTCTTCAGATGATCCTTCAATACAGCTTGAATCCGCTACCAAGATCAACAGGTTTCTTCTATCACAGGGTAAACAAAACTTCCTTTGTTTACTTTCTTTACTTTTCTTGATTTCAATCTGAAAGACTCCTCTAATTTTATCAATAAACTCGAATGTTTCTTTAAATTTTGTGTTCTTATATATGTTCAGGAATGCAAGGAAACATTACTCCTAATATCGAAGATCTGATACGATCTAGAGTTGTACCTCGTTTCGTCGACTTTCTCTGCAATGACGAGCTCCCTTCGCTTCAAGTTAGAAGAAAAAAAGAACCCCCATCAAATTGATATTTACTATTATCAGTGTAATCTTTGATACTGATATATTTAATGATCTTTTCTAGTATGAGGCAGCTTACGGTTTAACAATCATTGCTGATCTTAAACCGGATCTGGTAGTTGATCACGATGCTGGTCCAATCTTAGTCGAGCTTCTTAATTCTCCTACACATTATGTCCGTCAGCAGGTAGGCATTGTACTGATGTAGTAGGTATGAATGCTTTGTCACAGATATGAGTTTTGACATTATTCTTGCAGGCTATATGGGCACTGGGTAATGTTGCTAATCATCCGAGACACCGTGACTATGTTCTTGGATGTGAGGTATTGAAGCCACTGCTCAGTCAGCTGTACAAGGATACTAACTTGTCGATGCTCAGAATTGCCACTCGGACTTTGTCTTTCTTGTGTCATGGCATGCCTCCGCCTACCTTTGACGAGGTCTTCTTACTTCTCCCCTCTGTTTCCTCTGTTTGTATACGTCCAATACTTTCAACATATGAAGCATTGATTAACAGGTGAAACCTGCACTTGAAATACATCTTAATTCAAGTGATGAAGAAGTCTTGAAGTATGTTTGCTGGGCAATTTCGTATCTGTGTGATGGTTCAGAAGATGTAATCCAAAGTGTTATTGAAGCTGGTTTTGTCCCAAAACTAGTTGAAGTTCTCCGGTTAGTATCTCAGAATCCTTTATTGTGACATGTTTGGATACTGAAGGCTGACAATTTTTTTCTTTTTCAGACACCCTTCCCCAGTTGTACTTGCTCCTGTACTTCGTACCATTGGGACTATAGTTACTGCAAATAATCACCAGATCCAAGTATGTAATTCATATTCCACTTGTGGAGATATCAAAACGATTAAACTGTCAAAAGCTTATTTTTATCACAATGTCTCTAGAATGTTTAGTAGAAAAGATGCAGTGCTTTCTTTGTTATATGTTCCTTGTTTACAATGTTGTGGTTAGATTTTGTCACCAAACAACGAAGTGCTCTGCGTATGCTCTGAATAAATCTCTTTGAACTTATTTTTCAGTGTGTGATCAATTGTGGTGCTTTACCCATTCTTGGCGACCTGTTAACTCGAGGCTATGGGAGATACATAAGGATAGATACTTTCAATACGATTATAAGCATCACTTCAGGCTTTGGAGAACAAATTCAGGTGAGAAGCTTTTGTTGCTTTACGATTTCATCAGTAATTAATTGTTGTAGTTGCAAACCATATACTAATCTTTTTCTATTTGTCTTTCTTTTCCGCTGGTGATAACAGTCACTTATTGATGCACATATGATTCCAAAGTTGGTTTATCTGGCTCAAAATACTGAACTGGATTTGAAGAACGTAGCTGTATTGGCAATTTGCAATGTGACCACAGGTTGTTCTGATGATCAAATCAAGTATGTTCTTGTCTTCTCTCTTTTTTACTTTGCATTTCTTTCTATTGATAATAAAGTCAAAATGTCCATTGGTGTGATTCAGATACTTGGTGGAGCAGGGTTGCATAAAGCCTTTATGTGATCTCCTGGTATGTTCAGACGTAAAGACCATCTTAGCGTGTCTGGAAGGATTGGAAAAAATTTTGAATGTCGGAGAGGCAGAGAAGAACATAGGAGAGGTGAACAATTACTGTCAGCTGATTGAAGGTGCGGAAGGGCTAGAAAAGATTGAGGACCTGCAAAAACACGAAAGCGAGGAGATCTACGAGAAGGCTTTGAAGATTCTGGAGACATACTGGGATGAAGAGGATGATGAGGAGACACAACAACCTCCAAGCTGATGGATCTTGTCTTTTCTTGGCGACATTTTGAACTCTCCGTCACTGGTTCGTCTATTGAAAGTACAGAGTCGATAGAAGAGCTTTTGCTCCATTTTTCAAGTTTGATGTTTACTTTTGTTTCGTTGACGTTTTGTGACGTTCTGAGGTTATTGGAGATGTCTTATGAGTAAAAAATAAACAAACTAAAAAGAAACAAAAGAAAACTTAGCCTCAAATAACAACAAATTCCTAATGGCTAATTGTTTTGTTCCCGGCAACGATCTTAAAATTTGGTAGAGATCTTGAAATTGAACGGCTACGATCAAATATACTTGTGAAACCATTGACCACGAAGAAACCGTACTCTGATCATACACCGGCAAAAGTGGCGCGAAAAAAAAAAGATTTCCTCAAAGTTTCCTATTTCGCCGTTTTGGCGGGTGGCTCCTCTGATAATAGACAATGAATGAAAGGGCATTTTCGTCATTACAAACCAGATCATAGGCATTGCGCTTGCGGTGTCTCTCTCTCTATGTGGCACTCTTCTTCACTCTCTTCTCTGCATGATCTTCTCTAAAACCCTAATAACCAGATTGACTCTTCTCCTTTCGTTACTACTTTCCTTTGCATCTGCTTTTTAAACCCTAGATTCCCAAATCGCGGCGCTAAGCTTCGATTAAAACCCTAAAAATTCATCTCTATTGAAAATGCTAGATCTCACTGAGAAGGTAAATGATCTGCTTCTGATCTCTTCTTCTATTTAGATTCCAGTGAAGATGATCTGTTGAAAATGATGGCTCTGTGTTTGTTTCAGGTCTTGGTTGATTCAGAAACCATGAATACAAGAGCTGAAGAATTGATGGAACAGAACAACAACAAGACTTTTGCTGATTGTGGTACAAGCAAACCCCATCATTGGCGTTGGCGTGGTAGTCCTAAGGTGAATTAGACCTATAAACCCTAATTTCACTCCGATTTGGGGGTAAATTTTCTCATCTTTCTGATCCGATCCTAACCAATAACGCCTAACAAATTGAAATTTGGGTTTGATTAAACCGGTGTTAACCCCAGAACCAAACTTAATCAATTTAATTAGGTAATTAAATCAAACCAAACCGGTTCTCTGATAACGATATTAATTTTTTCTTGCGCTTCTTTAAATTCATCTGTTTTTCGCTCCTTGACTATTTTTGTTTGCATTCTTGCTCTCAATTGCAAAATTTCTTTGCCTCTTTCACATTTCAGCTGAGATTTCTAGGGTTTCTCTTCAAGTTTTGCAAATATCTCTGGAGAGGTCGAAGAAGAGAGAAAGCACTGTTGCTTGAAACCCAAGCTTCGTCTAAATGATCTCACACGAAGTTTCAGCAGCTATGAGTTTATTCGATGGCCTTTCTTCAAAAGATCATTCTATAAAGCTTGAATCCGCTACCAAGATCAACAGGTTTCTTCTATCACAGGGTAAATATAACTTCCTCTATTTACTTTCTTTACTTTTCTTGATTTCGATCTGAAAGATTCCTCTACTTTTCTTGATTTCGAATGTTTCTTTAAGTTTTGTGATCGTATGATTTGTCCAGCAATGCAAGGAAACAGGATTCTTAATATCGAAGATCTGATACGATCTGGAGTTGTAGCTCGTTTCGCTTACCTTCTTCACTATGAAGACTACCCTAAGCTTCAAGTTAGAAGAAAAAAAGAACCCCCATCAAATTGATATTACGATTATCAGTGTAATCTTTGATTCCGATATATTCAATGATCTTTTCTAGTGTGAAGCAGCTCGCGGTCTAGCAATCTTTGCTGCTTATATACCGGATGTGGTAGTTGATCACAATGTTGTTCCAATCTTAGTCACGCTTGTTGCTTATCCTAGAGATTATTATGTCCGTCAACAGGTAAGCATTGTACCTATGTAGTAGATATGTATGAATACTTTGTCACAGATATGAGTTTTGACATTACTCTTGCAGGCTATATGGGCACTGGGTAGTGTTGCTTATCATCGAAGACACCGTGACTACGTTCTTAAATGTGGGGCATTGAGGCCACTGCTGAGTCAGCTGTACAAGGATACTAACTTGTCGATGCTCAGAATTGCCACTTGGACTTTGTCTAACTTGTGTCATGGCATGCCTCCGCCTACCTTTGACGAGGTCTTCTTACTTCTCTTTCTCTCTGTTTCCTCTGTTTGTATACGTCCAATACTTTCAACATATGAAGCATTGATTAACAGGTGAAACCTGCACTTGAAATACATCTTAATTCAAGTGATGAAGAAGTCTTGAGATATGTTTGCTGCGCAATTGCGTTTCTGTGTGATGGTTCAGAAGATGGAATCCAAAGTGTGATTGAAGCTGGTTTTGTCCCAAAACTAGTTAAAATTCTCCGGTTAGTATTTCTCAGAATCCTTTGTGACATGTTTGGATACTGAAGGCTTACAGTTTTTTACCTTTTCAGACACCCTTCCAAGTATGTACTTGGTCCTGTACTTCATACAATTGGGACTATAGTTACTGGAAATAATCACCAGAGCCAAGTATGTAATTCATATTCCACTTATGTTGTCCACCTTGTGGACTAATCGTTTATCAAAACGATAAATCTATGGAAAGCTTATTTTTACCACAATGTCTCTAGAATGTGCTTGCTTTGTTATATGTTCTTTGTTTACAATGTTACGACTAGATTTTGTAAGCAAAAAAACAAGTGTTCAGGCTCTGAGTAAACCTCTTTGAACCCTTCTGTAGCTATCACTAATTGTGTTCTATTTGTCTTTCTTGCACTGATGATAACAGTCGGTTATTGATGCAAATTTGATTCCACCGTTGGTCAATCTGGCTCAAAATGCTGAATTTGAGATAAAGAAAGAAGCTGTATGCGCAATTTCAAATGCCACCGTGGGTGGTTCTCCTAATCAAATCAAGTACATCCCTGTCGTCTCTCTTTAACACTTTTTCATGCTTATTGATCATTAAGTCACAATCTCCATTGCTGTGATTCAGATACTTGGTGGAGAAGGGTTGCACAAAACCTCTATGTGATCTCCTGGTATGTCCAGATGTGATGATCATCTCAGTGTGTCTGGATGGGTTGGAAAACATTTTGAAGGCCAGAGAGGCGGAAAAGAACACAGGAGACGTGAACTATTATTGCCAACTGATTGAAGATGCGAAAGGAGTGGAAAAGATTGAGAACCTGCTAAAACACGAGAGCAATGAGATCTACCATAAGGCTTTGAAGATTCTGGAGACATACTGGGATGTAGAAGAAGATGATGAGGAGATACAACAACCTCCAAGGTGATGATGATCTGGTCTTTCAGTTCCAGTTCCTGTTGGAGGATTCAACTACAGTTTTGTTTTGTGAAGTTTTTGAGACTATCAGAGATGGATTATACATCGGTATTCTTGACGTGTATGAAACTTTTTGACTACTATTCATCTTTCCAAGTGGATTATATAATCTCTTTAGAACATTTGGGTATATGTTTGTTTAATCACTCTCATATAGAGGGACACAGATGAAGTTTGATCTCGAGCTTTGGCATATTTGTGACTAGGTTTTAGATATGTCTTGATCATTAGACGTAGTAAGTTGTAATATATGTCTTGTATTCAAACAACTCAGCTGCATACAAGCAACTATGACTCACTTAAGGAATCGGCAGCAATAGGCTATGTACCTGAACGTAAATGTTAATCAAGAGGAATTTTTCCTAATCCTGCAGTTGTGTTGCATTGATAGAAATGGCTACCGTTTAGGTTCAAGAAGAGCAAATAGGAGTTATCAATCCGGCACTTCAGTCGATTCAATATCTCGAGTATATATGAAACCACAGATTCTTTGGTTCTGCCTGCCTCGGAAATGAGAATTTTGCTGGTGTTGATTCTCTTCGGCTGTCTACAAAGAACAAGAATGGGATCAAGCATCTGGATGTTCCGGTTTTCGTTGAACCCGTAAATGATCCACCGTTTATTAATGTTCCTCAATATATAATGCTGGAGAGTAATGGGAGTGAGTCACTTATCTTTCACCCGGAAAGAGACAAGTTCAACTTTTCAGTTGGAGATCCAGATCTTGTTAATTTCCCTGGTAATGTTCACTCTTGGTCACTTTCAAGCTAGTAACAATCTCTTTTTTGACTGATGAAAGCAAAATGTCGATCTTTCACAGTTAGATGTTTTTGGTTTCTCTTATGTACATTATCATCACAAATCTTGTGTAGGGAGGAGAGAATGGTGCGATTTTGACTTTGAAACTGAGTGACATGGGGAGTTACGGGTGCTTCCTCGACTACGCTGAAAGAATTTCATTGCCTCTTCATGCAGAAGCTCGAGTAAAACTCATTAGGAAGAGGCCCTTGAGTTCCCTTGGACCCCACGGTATGTTTATGAAACACTTGGTAGTGGTTCCATTCAGTTTGATTTACTCTGTTTCATTAAAACCAAAAGAACTATGGTTTGGCTTCAATTAAGCTTTTTAGTTTGTTGATGGTTCTTTTTTGTTTCATTTTGTTTAGTTTATTAGTTCCGTTATTCACTTTGAACATGAAGATCATATTAGACGCATATTTGAACGTACATGTAATAAAGAGTTAGGTGATTGGTGGAATGGTCATTTTGAGTTTTGCTTGGAAAAATGGTTTGGTACACATCTCTAATACCTTTATGTCACTTGGTTGCAGTTATAGGATCTGTGATTGTGGTGGATTCTCTTGTGGTCTTCTCTCTCGCTACTCTGATTCTGTTCTTCACTTGCAAATGCGCATTTCTACTAGTACACGAGAGAAGAAGTGAACATTATGCCCACAAGAATTTGCAGAAACCAACGGTAACCAAAACCTTATCTCTCTCTTGTGTTTTCTTATAACCATTTTGTGTTCAAACACAAAAAAAGGTAATTCTCACTTCTGGTATAGACACATATGTGGAATTTTCAGCAAGCAGAATAAGACAAGCCTCAAAGGTTGATGAATCTGAAGAATCTCATGGAAGAAAACCATGGATTGCTTAGGCACATGCATATGCTTTTTTGGTCATGCTTCTGTTGTAAATGCTCATTGATTACCTTTTTGGTTATCTACCAAAATTTAATGCAGATAAGATCAGCCATAGATTAAAGAATATTTCCTTTCTGATCCGAGTAGATTTTATAAACAAATGACATGAGTTTAGACTTTAACAAACAAATAAGTCAAACACAAAACAGAGAACCAGAACACAAATACAAATACAAAACATGAAACCAGAACTTAAAACATTATCATTAAACAAACCAAAACTGAAGCAGAACCAGCTTGAGTTCGATCAATTTCCCTCATACATATATGGAAAACTGATCGAGGTCAAACCAGTTTGCATTAGTCTCCTCAAGTTCCTGTTGAGTGTTGTTGGAAAACCAATCATCGAGGGAGCTTTCAAAATTAGTCTCGAAACCAACGAGTTGATCAATATCAATATCCATCTCTGAATCACAATCCAAGTTTCCTTCAGGTAAGGCATTGTTGTTGTTGTCCGTAACACAAAAGCTTTCACAAATCGAGAGGATCTGATCTTGCTCTTCATCATCGAGTACAACGAGATCATCAGGGACGCAACAAATTGTAGAAGTATTGGACTGAAGATTTAGGGTTTGATCTGGCTCTTGAGTAATCTCGTTGAACTTTTCAGGTGAATCATCAGGAATGCAACAAATTGCGGAAGTGGGCTGATGATCTAGGGTTTGATCATGAGTTCCGTGATCTGAAACAATTATTCTCTTCACGTTGTTCTTCAGGTCCTCATGAACATTAACGAAAGCTTGATTACTGACTAAAGCTTCCTCTGCACGCAATTCCTTGAGATTACTCAACAACGTCCACATGGAATCGATGGCGTCACTAAGCTCTTGGGGATTCTCCGATTTGTTAAGGCTCTCGTTATTCCACCAAAACCCTAACCCTAGATTCTTGCGAGTCAAACAGATACCAACGTCCTCCCTCATCTCTTTGTTATCCTCCGGAACAGGAGCCGAAACAGGACGTTGTCCCGAGAGAAAAGCAGAGACAACGGCATCAACAGAAGAGTGACCGAAAGAGTAGAAGGATACGTTGGATTCAGAAGAAGGAGGAGTCGCTAAGATGGATATTTGTGCACCGGAGAGAAGACAAAGCTGAGAGGCTTTGCTAAAGAGACCTTCACGGCGTTTAGTGCAAATTGGCATGAGAGAAGTCTTCTTTGTAATCTTCTTGATCTCAATCTTCCTCTTTGTTCCTCTGTTCACCATTCTGATTTTCTCAATTTTCAGTGTGGAGAAAGATAATTGAAGTGAAGTCTTCTATCTCTCAGTCTCATATAAATAAGGAATATGAGATGAGGAGACACAACAACAACCTCCAAGGTGATGGATTTTAGCCCAACAACATCAAATTGTTAGATTTCCTTCTTTTTTTTTTACCGTTTTAACTTGAAGTAAGGGTAAAACTATCTTTTTAACTTCCATCCTTTTTCCTTTTCGCAACCCTAATTCTCGACAGCTGCTCGTTTTCCTTTTTTCTTTGGGCTAAAATCTATTTTAAAAGAAAAGTGAGGGACTAGAGAAAGTTTAATCCTTCATATGAGAAGTAACTGGAATATAATAGGATCATCCTTTTGATTCTGATTTCTTGTGAATTGTTGCTACCAAATAGTCGATCAAACATGAGTGAAGAAACATTAATAGTCAAAGGAGTGAATTGTTGGAATACGCGATGGGTCTATCGCGGGATAGGCTTGTTTGTATCTGTGAGTTGGTTAGCTAGGTTCATTATCGAACTCTTTTGGCCGACATTATGTTCTTCGTGGTCAACATGGAAAGACGAATCGGACGTGGTGGTGTTACTTTCTGCAGCACCGTTCTTGGTTGTGGGCGTTGTGGTAGTGCGGTCGTTTTACGTTCCGGTTCCAACAGCCAATACCAACTGTGGAGCAGGAAATATGTCTGGCTCAGTCGGGATTATGATGATAGCTATGTGCATTATGTCACAGTGTCATGTCATAGAATCGTCTATCTGTACATTTTCGCTACTGGCTGGAGGATTGGCCGTCTCGCTTCTCTATTCGCCGTCAAAAGATATATCATATGTATGCAACATGTTGGGTCGAGATTGTTATTGATGAACATTTCCTTATCATCTTCAACAGAGGGTAAATGACCACTTGAAGAAACCGTACTCTGTTCCGTATTTGATCAAACACCTGTCAAAGTGAGTGGCGCGAATCAAAAAAAAAAAAAAAAAAAAAAATTCCTCTGTTTCGCCGTTTTGGCGGGTGGCTTCCTCTGATAATAGACCAGTCATACAAGGGCATTTTCGTCATTTAAAAACCAAAATCTCTCTCTATGTGACACTCTTCTTCACTATCTTCTCCTCTGCGACTGCATGTTTTGCGAAGAGACGTGATCTTCTCTAAACCCTAATAACCAGAATGATTCTCATCCTTTTGTTTCTACTTACTACTTTCCTTTACATCTGCTCTTTAAACCCTAGATTCCCAAATCGCGGCGCTAAGCTTCGATTAAAACCCTAAAAATTCATCTCTATTGAAATTAGAGAGTGCTAGATCACAGTGACAAGGTAAATGATCTGCTTTGATCTTTTCTTCTCTTTCGATAATGGTGATCGCTCTGTGTTTGTTTCAGATCTTCTTGGTTGATTCAGAAACCATGAAAACAAGAGCTGAAGAAGATATGATCGAACATAACAACAACAACATGATTTATGCTAATTGTGGCACAAGCAAAACCCATCATTGGCTTCGTCGTGGTGGTCATAAGGTAAGTAGACTTATAAACCCTAATTTCACTCCGATTTGGGGGAAATTCGAGATTGATCTGATCTGATCCTAACCGATACGCCTAACAGTTTGAAGTTTGGGTTATATTAAACCGGTGTTAAACACAAAACCAAACTGAATCAATTTAATTAGGAAATTAAATCAAACCAACCGGTTCTCTGATAACGATAATTAGAAAACCGTTTTTTTTTTTTCTTTCGCTTCTTTAAATTCATTCTCTGTTTTTCGCTCCTTTTGTTTGGATTCTTACTCTCAATTGCAAAAGTTCTTTGCTTCTTTCACATCTCAGTTGAGATTTCTAGGGTTTCTCTTCAAGTTTTGCAAATTTCTCTGGAGAGGTCGGAGAAGAGAGAAAGCCACGTTGCTTGAAACCCAAGCTTCGTCTAAAGGATGTCACACGAAGTTTCAGAAGCTATGAGTTTACTCGATGGCCTTTCTTCGGAAGATCATTCAATACAGCTTGAATCCGCCACCAAGATCACCAGGCTTCTATCAGATGGTATATAAAACTTCCTCTGTTTACTTTCTTTACTTTTCTTGATTTCAATCTGAAAGATTCGTCTTTTATCATTAAACTCGAATGTTTCTTTAACTTTTGTGCTCTTGTGATCTGTCCAGCAATGCAAGGAAACAGCCCTCTTAATACCGAAGTTGTAGCTCGTTTCGTTTACCTTCTTCGCAATGACAAGCGCCCTTTGCTTCAAGTTAGAAGAAAAAAAGAACCCCCATCAAATTAATATTTACGATTATCAGTGTAATCTTTGATTCCGATATATTCAATGATCTTTCCTAGTGTGAAGCAGCTCGCGGTCTAACAATCATTGCTGCTTATAAACCGGATGTGGTAGTTGATCACGATGCTGGTCCAATTTTAGTCACGCTTCTTGCTTCTTCTAGAGATTATGTCCGTGAGCAGGTAAGGACTGTACTTATGTAGTAGATATGTATGAATGCTTTGTCACAGATATGAGTTTTGACATTATTCTTGCAGGCTATATGGGCACTGGGTAATCTTGCTTATTATCCGATACACCGTGACTACGTTCTTGGATGTGAGGTATTGAAGCCACTGCTGAGTCAGCTGTACACGGATACTAACTTGTCGATGCTCAGAATTGCCACTCGGACTTTGTCTAACTTGTGTCATGGCATGCCTCCGCCTACCTTTGACGAGGTCTTCTTACTTCTCTCTCTCTCTCTCTCTGTTTCCTCTGTTTGTATACGTCCAATACTTTCAACATATGAATCATTGATTAACAGGTGAAACCTGCACTTGAAATACATCTTAATTCAAGTGATGAAGAAGTCTTGAGTAATGTTTGCTTGGCAATTGCGCATCTGTGTGATGGTTCAGAAGATGTAATCCAAAGTGTGATTGAAGCTGGTTTTGTCCCAAAACTAGTTGAAGTTCTCCGGTTAGTATTTTTCAGGATCCTTTATTGTGACATGTTTGGATACTGAAGGCTGACAATTTTTTCTTCTGCAGACACCCTTCCCCAGTTGTACTTGCTCCTGTACTTCATACCATTGGGACTATAGTTGCTGTAAATAATCACCAGAGCCAAGTATGTAATTCATATTCCACTTTATGTTGTCCACCTTGTGGAGTTATCACAATTTCTCTAGAATGTTTAGTAGAGAGGATGCAGTGCTTGCTTTGTTATATGTTCCTTGTTTACATTGTTACGATTAGATTTTGTAACCAAACAACAAAGTGCTTAGGCTCTGAATAAACCTTTATGAACATATTCTTTAGATTGTGATCAATTGTGGTGCTTTACCCATTCTTGCCAACCTGTTTACTCGAGACTATGAGAAAGACATAAAGATAAACACTTTCTGGACTATTATAAGGATCACTGTAGGCTTTAAAGAACAACTTCAGGTGAGAAGCTTTTGTTGCAGAACATATACAAATTTAACCCTTCTGTTGCTATTACTAATTGTGTTCTATTTGTCTTTTTTGCACTGATGTTAACAGTCAGTAATTGATGCAAATTTGATTCCAACCTTGGTCAATCTGGCTCAACATGCTGAATTTGACATGAAGAAACTAGCTGTATGGTCAATATCATATGCAACCTCAGGTGGTTCTCATGATCAAATCAAGTATGTTCTTGTCTTCTCTCTTTTTTTTACTTTGCATTGCTTTTTATTGATCATGAAGTCACGAACTCCTTTGGTGTGATTCAGATACTTAGTGGAGCAGGGTTGCGTAAAACCTTTATGTGATCTCCTGGTATGTTCATATGTAATGATCAACTCAGTGTGTCTGGATGGTTTGGAAAACATATTGAAGGCCGGAGAGGCGGAAAAGAACACAGGAGACGTGAACTGTTATCTCCAACTGATTGATGCCGCGGAAGGGGTGGAAAAGATTGAGAACCTGCAGAAACACGAAAGCGATGAGATCTACGAGAAGGCTTTGAGGATTCTGGAGACATACTGGGATGAAGAAGAAGATGATGAGGAGACACAACAACCTCCAAGGTGATGGATCTGGTTTTGCAGTTGTGAGAGAACCAAGTTCCAGTTCCTGTTGGAGTCAACTTTTGTTCATCTTTATATTGTGTAAACTTGTTGAAATTGAGTACATGATTCGGTTTCAAGATTGTACTGGACCAGATACAGTGATCAAATACATGACTGATGGTATGCTTCTTAGGGAGATTCTGATAGATGAAAACCTCTTTCAATACTCAGTAATCATGCTTGACGAAGCTCACGAGCGGACAATCCACACTGATGAAACGTAGGCTTGACCTTCATCTGATTGTCACATCTGCCACATTGGATGCAGAGAAGTTCTCTAAGTATTTCGTCAACTGCAACATTTTTACCATTCCTAGAAGAACCTTTCCTGCTGAGATACTGTATACCAAACAGCCAGAAACAGATTACTTGGATGCAGCTTTGATCACAGTCCTTCAGATTCACTTGAGGGTGACATTCTCGTCTTTTTGACGGGGCAGGAAGAGATCGATTCTGCATGCCAGTCTCTGTGCGAGAGAATGAAAGGACGTTCCTGAACTCAGAGATGGATCCGTTAAGACGACTATCATTGAAACGGCTGCAAAGAAATAGATTGAAAAAGTTATTTAAAGTCTGATAACAACAGATTCTTGCTTACAATCCTTCTAGGTTTACAACTTCCCCTAGTTCCTTAGAGATAGTTGCAGATAATTTATTGGCTTCAAGAACTCTGTAATCCTTCAAATAAACAAAACAACTTAGCTTTATATGTAATCACATAAGATAAACAAAGAAAACGGTTGAATCATACAAGAAAATGTGGTTTCCAGATAAGCGATTTGCGCAAACAGAGCTACAGTCAAACATTCTGTAGCATTTCTTACTTCCTTAATAAACAAGAAACTTGAGATCAAAGACTTACATAGATTTTAGGTAAGGCAGTGAGGCACATTCCATAGGAATTGAACCATAAAGGTAATAATTACGGCACAAGTCACTGCAAAAACAAGCAAAAAGGCTCCCTCTTTTTTATAATTTCTTTTTGTCAACTAGAACAGTGAAAACAGAGGAAACACAACATCAAGAACCATCCTGTTATATAGAGTTTAGGTTCAAATGCTTCACACCTAGTAGATGGTCCAGATAAATGTAAGTATGTGGTTCAATGGGAGACAAATAAGTCCCTTTCTTTCTTCTCAATCAATTTTAAACCTCAAAATGAATTATTCTATTCTAACCCATTCTAAAAAAGCACAAAATCTTATTTTTTCTACATTTAAAGATATGTCTTTAATATTAAAAACCTATTTTCGAGTATTGTCAGTTTGTCACTTTGACCAGGAAATTGTTTAGTCAACATTACACACTATCTTATTTGGAACTATGCATAATAAATGATATATTTATGGTCTGAATCTGAATCCTATCTATACATGGTTTAGTTCCCTACCACTCTCATTGTTTGTTTCTTTCTCTTTATAGTTTACAATCATTCTATCATTAGTATCTCAATTTTGCACTATCTTCCACTTAATCATTTACTTTAGTGACATAATCATATAACCAATGCATCTAAATCTAATATTGAAAAATTACTGAGTTTTTTTTTTTTGCCTTATAGATTAACCAAGTTTTCAATGTGCAAGTGTTACAGGGACAATTTGTATGTAAGGGATGTGAGATTTCTAAAACCTTTTTTTTGCTAACTTTGCAATTTTTTCCGATTGATACAAAAAGAATTATGGAAAATTGGAAACGGCTACTATAAAATACATGTGAATCATCATCATTGACCACTCGAAGAAACCGTACTCTTTGCCGTATCTGATCACACAATGGTCAAAGTGGCGCCATTTTTTCTTTTCACCAAATCATAAAACACCTTTTCCTCAAAAAAATCCATGTTTTGGCGGGTGGCTTCTTCTGATAATAGAGAATGAATAAAAGGGCATTTTCGTCATTTAATAACCAAAATCCTAGGGTTTAATTCCGAACCAATTTATAATCATGGGTTTGGTTTTATTGATCATTGTCTCTGTCGGTTCGATTCTTTCAAAAACAAAGCCTCTCTCTCTCTCTGACACTCTTCTTCACTCTCTTCTCTGCATGTTTTTGCGAAGAATCGTGATCTCTTCTAAACCCTAGTAACCAGATTGATTCTGATCCTTTCCTTGATCTCTGTTTTCAAACCCTAGCTTTCCCGATTGCGGCGCCGACTCTGATCAAATCCTTAAATATCCATTTCACTTAGACGATCTCGGAAGTAGAGAATGCTAGATCACAGTGAGAAGGTAAAATGATCTGCTTCTGATCTCTTCTTCTATTCAGATTCTGATGATGATGATGATCTGATAATAAACTGATCGCTCTGTATTTTCAGGTTTTGGTTGATTCAGAAACCATGAAAACAAGAGTTGAAGAAGACATGATCGAACAGAACAAAACTAGTGTTAACGACAAGAAGAAGACTTGTGCTGATTGTGGTACAAGCAAAACCCCTCTTTGGCGTGGTGGTCCTACTGGTCCTAAGGTTCAAACATAAACCCTAATTTCACTCTGATTTTGGGGGGAAATTGAGTTTGATCTTGTCTCTGATCTCTGATCTCTGATCTGATCTGATATGTTTCGCTTTTTGTTCTGTGTAGTCGTTGTGTAACGCATGTGGGATCAGAAACAGGAAGAAGAGAAGAGGAACAGAGGATAATAAGAAATTAAAGAAATCAAGTTCCGGCGGCGGAAACCCTAAATTGGGTGAATCGTTAAAACAGAGGTTGATGGATTTTGGGATGACGAAGAGATCAACGGTGGAGAAGCAACGACGGAAGCTTGGTGAAGAAGAACAAGCCGCTGTTTTACTCATGGCTCTTTCTTATGGCTCTGTTTACGCTTAGTGGTTTTTTTCTGGATCTCACCATGATTAGGGTTTTCTTGAATTTGGAGAGCAATGATGATGATGATGACTAACAAAATGAAATGTGAGATTTTTCCCTTTTTTGTTAGAAATTGTTTGGTTTTTTGTGTTTTTTTACTTTAAGAATTTTGGGTATCTCGATGACTCGATGATGTAATTTGGTGGTATTCAAAAAAAGTTTTGGAAATTGTAAGAAGATGAACGAAGAAAAACATGTTCGGTAGTAGTAGTTTATTAGTTTTTCATTTTTTTTATAATATTATTTTATTTTTAAATAATTGCTGTGTTTTGATTTTGTCTTTATTAGGACAGGAATGGGACTTGCCTATCTGTTAAGCACACATTCTTGTCAAGTCAAAAATAGTTATATAATTTATTTTACAATTTAAAATGAAATATTGTTCAAAATTTCGTCAAGTTCTAATGTTTTATTCAGTGTTTTAACATCTGATCCAAACCGTTTAATCTGACCGATTAATTTCCGATACGAATATTTGTTCGGTTTAAGTTTATTGCTAATATTCGATAATTTAAAAACCGAAAAAATCTAGGAAAACTCGCTAATAATCCGCGATCCGATGAATTGGTTAAATTGGCCGGATATGAGCTAAAAAAAAATCAATTATTTTTTGAAAAAAATATATAGTTTTAGACTTCTAGTGTATTCACAATTCATAATTTAGTTATATTTAGAACTTTTTCAGTTCTTCATATTCACTATTCTACTATCCTAGTATTATTTACGGTTTAAGTTAGATTTAAAACATTTCATTATTTTATTATTATTGTTAGATTTAATTTTTTTGTTAAACATGATATGATTATTTTTATTTTTATATTTATAAAACTATATAATCTCTATAAATATTAAATACATCAAACAAATTTTAATCAATTGATCTATAATCGAATCCGGTTGATCCAATAACTTAGTAACCTAGAAAATAGTCCAGTTTACGGTCTGGATCGGGTTATAAAACGTTGGTTTTATTTTTCTGTTAATGTCAGATTGTGCTACCAGATTTTAGGTTTTATTCCAGTCATCAATCGTGGTATTTAAATTTGGTAATGTAACAGTGGAATTATCCTTTTTTTTTCATTAGTTCCGTGGGTATCAAACAATTCTATAAGTATGGAATAATCATTTTTGTACACATATTAATGATAATAACATTAGGGCGATTGACACAAATAGTGTGTCAACATTAAAACCATATCATTATAATAATTGATAATCATCATTATGATGCTGTCAACATTAAAACCATATCAATAATAATGTGTCCTGTAATTAGGTAACGCAGATCTTGGTCTCTCTGGCCGCTTGAAAAATGTTTTTCTTTTTTCTTTAGATCAAGTCCAATCGCCATTTATACCAATATCACTATACTAAAACTAAACCAGATTTTTTTATATCTTAAAATTATTAATTATTTGATCATTAACAAAACATAGACGAATCGTTTGAAACAGAGACAACCAGCATCAACTTATATTCCTCTGTCCCAGCAAGTAAAATCTGAAACACATATGTACTTACAAAAAAAAAACAGAGTATTGAAGCTGGTTTTGCTTGAGAAGGATTATCCAAGAACTATGTTGAAATGGTTTTAAGACAACTTACTTTTCGCAGAGGCAATGAAGGCATCAACAAGGCGGAGCCATGCTCGACGCCAAGAACAATCGACGCACATAAGTACAAGAATGCCTATCAGTGCAGTCACATAAGTTGCAGCCGTACTCCAATAGAAGACCAACATGTCAATATCAGCTTCATTGTCATCTTCTTCTCCTCCTCCATTATCTTTTTCCTCTGAATTCTTCTTAGCTTCACAACTTCTATCGGTTGGCGGTCCACAGAGAAGAGGATTGCCTAAGTAGCTGTTCTCATCAAAGGTGTTAAATTGCCTTCCTTGGGGAATGGTGCCTGATAAATTGTTGTAAGAGACGTTGAAGACAGCAAGAGAAGTGAGGTTGGTTAATTGGTGAGGAATGCTTCCTTGTAACATGTTATAAGAAAGATCAAGGCTCTCAATGTCCTCCAGTTTGGAGAAGCTATCCGGTATATGACTCGACAAGAAATTGCGAGACAGATTCAGAGCTCTTAGCTTAGAGAGCTCTCCAAGCTCTGCTGGGATAACACCACTTAATTCATTGCTTGACAGATCCAAGCCATACATGTAATCAAGTGTTCCTTCAGTCAACTCAAATGCTCCAGTATAAGAATCATACCTGTGCTTTGCTGCAAATTGGATTTCAATATTCAGATGAGTAATGTAGTCTAACGTGAAATCCTCAACCCCAAATGTGGTTTTGTAGAATCCCAAGTAAAAGTTCTCTAAAGAGTAAACTGAATCAAAGTAGTCAAGTTTATCATCGTTTCCTCCCAGTCCAAATGATAAATTATTGAAGCATGAAGGTATGAAGCCATTGAGCTTGTTATTTGAAAGATCTAAAAGTCTGATGTTACTCAATTCACACAGAGTCCTTGGAATATATCCCGATAAGTTGTTACCTCTCAACAAAAGAATACTCATATCTTGGGTATTTACAATCTGCGGAATACTCCCAGAGAGTTTATTGTTCCGCAAATCAAGTATTTGGACACCTCCCAACAATGTGTCCGGGATTGGCCCTGTGAAGTTGTTGTTGTGTAGGAAAAAACTTGGCCAAAGTATACTACCAACAAGTGATGGTAAGGCTCCAGATAATAGGTTTGCAGAGAGGTCTAGAAAATAATGATTTTCAGTGACCAGAAGCGAAGGTGGTATTGCACCTTCTAAGAAATTGTTGGACATGTCAATTGTCAAGTACTAACAAATTAACCAAGTTGAGCAAACCAACACCGATCTTCCCTGTAAATAAGTTGTTATCGATTCTTATGACGGACAATGAAGTGAAATTTGAATGTCTTGGAAGAAAATGGCCGCTAAATTTGTTGTGAGAGAGCTGCAGGATTCTTAATGAAAAGCACCCTGTGACAAAGCTTCTAGGTAGCTCCCCAGATAAATTATTATAAGCCAGGTTCAAGAATGAAATGTTCTTCATTTCACCCATAGACAATGGAAAATTCCCTTGGAACCCATTATTGGAGCCATTCAAATGTACTAGACTCGGAAGCACATGACCAATATTATCAGGGAACAATCCACCGATATCATTTTCCGAAATATCCAAAACCTGCAAATTATGCACTGTTGTAGGCATCTGAGAGATAGTGAATGAATTATTCTTCAACTGTAAGACTTCAAGTTCTGGATTATTCTCCAACAGCCAGGTTGGAATGTTTCCATATAATTTATTGTCGGATAGATCAACTAGACGCAAGTTCTTCTGGTACATGAGAAAGTTAGGGATTTTCTCCAAGCTGCAAAGTCGTAGTACAACAACACTTAGTTGGAATTTCGGCTGCCAATTATTTTCTGTCTCTACTTGGAGCATAACAGATGTTGATGACATTTTGAACACCTTGAGTTTTGTGAGGTTGGCAAGTGGACTGAGCGAGAAAAAGCCTTCAAAGCTATTATCTGACAATGATAGATATTCGAGGGACTCGAGGCTACTGAAACTGGGTGGTATATTTCCACTTAATTGGTTTGATGAGAGGTCAAGAAACCGTAGCTTGTTCAAGCTACCGAAACACAGAGGGAGCTGACCAACAAATTAATTTTCTCTGAGATCAAGCTCCCGCAAATTCTTCAATTCACAAAACACTGCGAAAACGAAAGTTTGGAAAACAACAAGATGATGAGAATAATAAGAGTAGTTGTATTCCTCCCGAGAATTCATGAGACACTTTTCAGACGTAAAAGTTATAATGCCCATATTGATAATCTTGGAGGTGAAGCAAAGACAGATCACCTTCTATTGGTATAGGCTCAGGACTATGATAATTATTACTACCAAGACTCAGGACTTCCAAGTTAGTCAAATTCCTTAATCCTGAAATAAAGTAAAGACATAAAGGATATACCTTGAAAAATGATCTTGGGAAAAGAAATAAAAAGGGATTCACATCCATTCTTAATAAAATAAAATTAAATTAAAACTTGAGCAAACTTGCCTTGCCATTCCATTGAGCTATAAATTCGATTAGAACTTAGATCTAGAGCTTTCAGCTTCTTTAAGTAAGGAAACTCTGCCACAAAACAAAGAAACAAAAGCAAAGACACCTACAATTAATATGGATGTTCTTAAAGATGGCATAAACTAATTTCAATAACTACGTAGAGGGTTAAATGTGTTAAAAGTTCTACTCTAGAAAAGAACGACAGACATTTTTCTATTGACAGTCACTATTGACGTAAATGCTACCTCTTACAGGCATGGAGCCGTTAAGGAAGTTTCCTTTCAGATCCAACAGTTCCAAGTTTGTCAAGTGTTTAAGTTCTGAAAGGATCCAAGAGAATGTTAGAATGCTAAGAACTAAAATAAAGAGACAGCAAATTGTAGCGCATACTACATAAAAATCAAACAATCTAACCAATGGTACATCAGCAATAAGTAGGTGTACTAGAAGGAGAAACATACCTTTAGCGGGAAAAGGGCCATACATATAGTTATTCCGAAGAAAAAGAGTTGTAAGTGATGTAGCAGCATTAAGAAAGGGAAAGATGCTGTTGTTGAATTCATTAGAAGAGAAATTCAGAATCTGCAGGTTCCTTAATCTCCTTAGGCTTTTGTAACCTGCAAAATAAAATCCTGTTAACAAAGTATACGAAAACTCTAATAACTATGATAAGCTCCATTACAATTTTAGTCTAATCTACATGCCAATGAAGATTATGAGAATTAAAAACTGCACGCAGTAGGAAACATGAGTGATGGAAAAATGATGACAATGTGCTACATGGGATAGTTTTAAACGGTATCAACTTTCACGAATCTATAATTCAAACCTTTTATTCCAGGGAAAAATGCTTCCAAATAGAGACCATAAAGGTAAGAAAGAGACATTGGGAAAAGCATGATGATATACCTTCCACATCATCAACCAATCCGTTGAATCTGGACATTGATAAGTCCAGACTTTGAACCTCTTCAAAAGGATGCAGCAAAGAAAGATTTAGGA